GTGTCCTCCTCCATTCCGTTCTCCTTCACTTCTCGCTCTATGACTGCAGGCGTGGCCTCTGTCATAGAGAAAAGTCGAGGCGCCAGTGGCCGTCCAAGGGTGGGTCTGGAGTTCAGGGTGAGGTTTGATAGGAGGGGCCAGGGAGCAGAAGGAGAGGGGGGAGGGTGTGAACTGAACAGAGGGCAGGGAGGGGATCTGTGGGAAGCCGAACTCACCCCATTCGTCGACCGTGAGGATGCTCTCTGTGTGTCTGTGTGTGGTGCATGCACGGTGGTGGAGTGGGTGAGAAGAGGGCCACTGGCGCGCCTCCCGAAGCTCCCCAAGGGGATGATGGACCGGAGACGGCTGCGTCGGTGGCTTCAGGGCGGATGGAACGGTGGAGAGGATGGTGGCATTGCAGATTCTGTCCGTCCGGCCGTTCCTCTGGCTGGCTGGCTGGCTGGATGGCTGTCTTTAACGCTCACTTGGGTGAACGAGTGAGCCGGGATGCCGTTCGACTTTGTCCGGTTCGAATCGACTCAGCACACCACTTGTTGATCGAGTGGCGGCGGTTTATTTTTCTGACCCACAGAACAGAGTTGCTAGTTCCAGAACAAGCTCAGTTCATCCAAGATGACGAGCCAGCAAGACCGCAAGAACGCGGCCGGCAGTGAGAGCAACCAGATGGCATCTGTTGATCTCGTGTAGTGAGCTTTGCCTCTCAGCTCGACCTCAGACCAGTTAACAACGTTCGATCTGAGAATGCACTCGAGAAACAAGGAACACGGTCTTCCCGACATGTCTACTATGTAAGGAGGACATGTTCGAAACTGGAGAAGGGTATCATCAGATATGCCATGCCATGCCCAGGAGAAAATCCACCCATGATCTCCTGCGGAACTTCCCAGTTATGCATGGACAGTTTCATCCCATCTCTGGGGTGCGTAGCGGGCGGATGTACGGATCGAACGCAAAAGACGACAGGGACATGTCAAGGACACATCAGAACCATGCAGTCCACCGATTTTGTTGAGCCCACATGGAGTATCCGCACACAGTCGTCCTCTAAGCCAGTCATGATGTTGAGATATTTTGAGTCCGCGGGCAGAGGACATCTGTTTCCGGATTCAGCCAATACGGGATACTGAAGTCACATTGCAGGGGTAGCTTCTTCTCTCCCACACACTCACTTCCTCACCCACGCAGCAGCACGACGAGAACCGAACCACTCATACTGCGTCCTCTACCGGGGTGCGTGCTCTGCAGTCTGCAGACTAGACGACCACTCCCACCAGGCGATCGCTTTTTATCCCCACGAACAGAACAAGAGCGAGCGGTTTGATCCATTTATCCTGTCGCGGGGAAAGCCAATGTCACCTCGCCAGTGCAGAAACAAGTCCGCAAGCGGTGGGTGCCACACGAGCAAGGAAAAAAGGAAAGGAGCAAAAAATAACCACATCCCCTCGTTTTGTACGATTGTTATTCTCCGAGTATCTCCTTTGGGACGACGCAAGCGTCCTTTTTTGGAGTTATGTCGCACACACGCACACGACAGATCATGGAAGGTGGGTAGCAGAAATATATTGCCTGCGTGTGGAGATAATAAGAGGGTGTGTGGGAACGTGGGAACGTAGGTTTGCGTTTAGTATCGCAGGACGGAAAGATGGATTTCCGGGTGCGCGCGCGCGACCGTCCAGGAGCCACTCACTCACTACTACCTCCAATTCCGTCTTCTTGAAAAGTCCGAGTCGCAAGGTATGTATGATTTGTACATACATAGTCGTGTATGCGCGCGCAACAACGCGGGGTGCGCAGGGTCCGCCGCATGTCCGCCGCATGCAGCAGCAACAGCAGGCAGGCAGACCGGCGTCGGCCGACGGCGGCGGCGGCAACAGCGGTGGTTTGCTCGGAGATTGCATGCTGTATGTCCATGGCGTTTCGTCACACGTTTTTGCGTGGTGCGACGCAAAATCGAGTCTGCTGCTGCTTCTGCAAGCTGTGTGCTGCACTGCAAGCTACGGTACATACACACTTGCAAGCGAGTGAGAGAGAGCGCCCCGCGCGCGCGCAAGCTCGCTTTCAAAACGTTTCGCTGCGGCTTTGCCACTCGCCGGCATGGATGTAGTGTATGATGGAGTGCACACTACACTACACTACACCCACGATATCGATCGATATCGATATTGAACAAAAACTGTGCCGCAAAAAAGGAGGCACGGGCCGGGCGGGATAGGGGCGCGAGCCCGGTGCGCCCGGTGCTGGGATGATGTTGCGCATGAAAAAAGATATGTAAGAGGAGGGAGGATGGGAAGGAAGGTCGCCTCATCGGTGTCCGTATGGAGAATGTCGTGTCGTGTGTGTGTGTGTGTGTGTGTGTCGTCAAGGATTCCAGGGGGCCACTGGGGGGTAAAGCGCGAGTTTGAGTCTGCCCGGCCCTGAAAAACTGGCCGATAAACCTCATCTGAAATTCAGAGCAAGGCATTGAGCGAGGGTATCGCATGCGCGCGCATAGGAGAATTCTCCCTCTCCTTGCCTTGCCGTGCAGGAAAACTGAATGCCCCCTTCCCCTTCCGGGGTCCGTCCGGTCAGGTCTCTGGGATCGGCCTCGGCTTTATTCTCCCCCCTCGCACCTCGCGCCGGTAAACCAAAAAGGGAGGCAAGGGGAAGGGGGTTCAAAGGGAGAGATCCGCTGTTTATCCCCGACTATCAGCGGCGGGTAAAACACCGAGGGTTTTTGTTCGGCGCGAATCGCTATTTGGGTGTATGGGGGGGGGGGGCCTACGGTCGCTTGTGGTCGGTTGTTTTTTGGGGGAGTTTATGGGGTTATGGGGGTGAAGAGGGATGACAGATCGGTGCTTGCTGACAGCGGGGCTGAATGGATTTGTGTTGTGGTCTGTCTGACTTACACGGTCGTGCGACGGAGTACAAAAAGGTAATGATGTTTACTCATACATACCAACGACACATCTACATAGTACATGCCTCGTGTGTGTATGGATATCCCCGCAACCATATCCCACGTACTCGCAAGCACATCCCCCATCTCACATCCCACCCAAGCCCCATACAGACAAACAGCCAGTCATCCAGCCAGACAGATAGATAGCCAAACCAAACGAACTGATAGACACGCTCACAAGTCGGCATCACCGCCTATGATCTACACAGCTAGCCAACCCACTTCCCGCCATGAGTGATCAGCCATCGGCCGCCCCGACTCGCGTGGCTCGAGACGAGGCGAGGATCTCGCACGGCACGGAGCCACGGGCAGGGACGAGCAGCGGTAAGTTAGCGAGGTTATGTAGGAGCCAATCCGGTATGTTTCGTCTTGGGGAGTTGAGGCATGAGTCCAAGAATTTATAAGTGGAGAGGGTGTTGATCTGTTGGAGGTTGATTAACTCTCTGTCCACGGGCTTGCTATCTTGTTGATTCATCAGCGAGGTTGAATACGCCCATCCCTACGCCGAAGGACCGTATAAGCCGTGGTTTATGTTTGTCTCTTTCCTCGGTTCGGCGAGTCCGACGTGGGTGGTTGGAGTCGAGATATCAGGGACATCTACAGACATGCCCATTGCCTGGCCTCGGTATGGAAGGGCCTGTGTATGTACATACAGATGGGCAGATGGAATATGGACATAGTATCGGTGTCGATACATTTGTGTAGAGCACACTTTTATCCCGGACTATTACAGATAGGCTCACAAGTTTGTCTGTATTATGGAGACGCGTACTTGGCCAGGTACGTAGGCAAGTAGTTATGAAGTTAGTTCCCTGCCTTTCGATTTGGTAAAGGTAACATCACCTTCGATCTGCCCCCTTCTCCCAAGCGAGCGAGGTAGGCAAGCACATGATGGGAGGTACAGTAGTCATCGCAAGGTTTGGTCCCCCCGGAAACATGAACAAGCAGCAGGAAAGCCGCATGCATCTCCGGTTCATACCTTTCTTTCCTTCCTTCTCTCTTTCTATTCGTGTTCAGATTCAATTTCCCCGCACCCAGGGCCATCGTGGGGAGGGAAGGAAACGGGAGGGAAACAGATGTTCGTTTTGTCACACACCGCCATTGCCATGGTAGGCCCTTCGATCACCGTCACCACCGCCACCGTTGACGTCGCACCAAACCAAAACCAAAGATTCCAAGCCCATGGATGCGGGGAACAGGGCGGGAAAAAAAGGGGAAAACGTCCGATGGCTTAGCACATGGGTTATTAATTACAGAGTGGGTAATTATATGGTTCCTGAAGACTTCTACATCTATCTGTGCGGATCAGGATAAGCTTTTATTATCACAAGCTGTGGAGGGGGGGTCTTGAAACGTGAGAAAGGGGACGGTTAGATACCTACTCAGTGCTGAGGTGTGACTAGGCGAATGGGTAGGTGGTAAGTCTCTAGCAGGTGGGAAGAGGAGCAGGCTGAATAAAGGAGCCATGAGGATACCTACATATGAAGAAGTAAACCAACCAACGCTCCCCTTTTGGTTTAGACAGGAAAGTCAGACATACCATACCACACCGTATGGAAGGGACTTAAGTTCCAATCTCAAGAATATAAACGTAAAAGGAGAATACCATAAAACACACCTCCAACATTATGACCCATGTTGAGAACGGCGCGACGTCCAACATACGTCGGGACGCCTTAGACACTCCCGTGAAGAACACTGGCCGGGACTTGGGACACAATAAGAAGGTTCAGTGGGGAAAATATCGTGTTTAGTAGTGTCTCATGGTAACCCCATGGTTCCTACATATGCTAACAGACTGGCTCGCTAAATGCTGTCTTCATGTTCGTTTCGTATCTGGCTGCCGATTTCTTGGAGATATCGTACCAGCCCTCTGAGAATATCACCATGCTCTCTGAGGATATAGCCATGTTTCTCATTCATTTCATCGCACTTCTTTCTCCCCGTGTCATACCATGTTCATCCATCCATCCATCCATCCATCCATCCATCGGGTATAATTCCATCTTTGCCCATTGCCTTCCCCTCAACCCCTCCCTTTCGTTCATCACCCGGCTGATAGTCAAAACTCCTCATCATCCGACCCCCCCTCCATATCATTCAGCGCCAACTGCACAAAATGCCGCACCCACTCCTCATGGGCCGGCGCCAGGCCCGCCTCACCACCGCCTCCACCGCCGTCATCGCCGGCAACATTATGCGGGTCTGCATGCCGGGGGCGGGCTAAGGGGGCGTGTGGACGTCCGCCTGGGTTGTTGTTATTAATGGGTAATTGGTTGTTGTGAGGGTGATGATTCTGATTCAACCGCTGTGCAAGCCCCGCGTTACCACCTCCCCGACCTCGATTTCGTGCGCCGCGTTGTGCAGCTGCTCTCGGTCCCCTCGCGGCCGGCCCTCCTCCCCGAGCAGGGCCGGGTGGTTGGGGAACAGCGGGGGGTATGATTCCCCCCGGGACCGCCGCTCCCCCACCGGCTGCCGGTTGCCGACCACGGGGTCCGCCACGCCCGGCTGCTGCGGGTTGGTTGGCGGCTATCCTGAGGACCAGCGGACCCTCACGCGCGATGCCGACTTGCTGTGCCCCGTTGACGGGTGGTTCTAGTGGTGGTGCTGCTGCTGCGGCAATTACGTCCTCGGCATCATCGGGTTCTTCGATTATTGGGATCAGGTCTTCGATGGCAACAACCCTAGGAGGAGGAGCAACCGCAGCTCCTCCCGCACCCCCAGCAAACCCATGCCCTGCACCATCACCATCCCCTTCTTCCAACTCCCACAGCCGCATATAACACCCCGTAATGCGCCCATCAGGCGCCTCATTAAAATGCTGGTACGGATTCCCCGGATCAAGCCACGACGAGCAGAGGTAGCAAAAGTGCGACTGGCAGCGGCTGCAGATCATGTGGTTGCAGCCGTGGGTCTTTTGGGCGGGCACGCCACAGGTCGGACAGGGGGTCGAGTGCAGGCGCATGTACTCGAGCGAGGCCAGCTCGTCGGCGGTGAGTTCTTGTTTGTCGCGGCGCGGGATGCAGCGGAAGAACTCGCCGTGCCAGGATTGGTGGCAGCGGCTGCAGAAGGCGAAGGCGCATTCCTCACAGATGGCTAGCAGCTCGTCGTCGGGTTTGTAGGGTTTAGACCCGACCTCGCCCTCGGGGCGGTCCGCGTTGTCGTCGTTGTCATCGTCGTCGTCGGAGGCGGAGTCATCGCTGGTTTCGGCTAGGTTGAACCCTTGGGGCTTCTTGTGCTTCTTGGACCGCGCAGCGCCGTTGCACCACTGGCGCGGGCAGTAGATGGTATTCTTGTCTGATTCCAGTTCGACCTTGTACTTGAGAGTGACGTAGCGTTTGACGGTCTCCTGGTCCAGTGGGATCTGTAAGAGCTCGCTAGGGTTGATAAACGTCCGCGGCTTCTTGCGCTTCTTGCCAGACGACTTGGTCCCTTTCGCACGGTCCTTGGCGCAATCGGGGGTCAGGCACTTCACGGCGGTGATATCTCCTTCCTTGATGGCGCTATTGTAAAAGTCCTGCAGACAGGCGACGCAGAAAACATGCCCACAATCCAGCATTCGATGGCAGGCGGAGCCTTTCTTGGGTTCTAGGACTGTTAGCAGATACCACGACTAGAAGATCCCGCCGGACATACCTAAACACACGCCACAGTCAAACGTCTCCTTCTCAAAAGCCGCCTTCCTAGCCTGGATATCATAATCCAGAATCGCAATCTTGTGCCGCGGATCGACTTCCAGCGACCCCTTCCCATCCACCAGCTCAAACAACCCATCCGCCGCCTGCTGAATATGGTCGATATACGTAAACCCCACGATATCACGCCCCATATCCTCCCACAGCCGAGCCGCATCCTCCTCGAGCCGCTTGATCGTCCCATCGGGGATCCACGGCGGGGTGGTCGATATAACAACCCGCGGCGGCTGTTCGGCGGGGTATTCCGGGCCGAATGTGATCTCGAGATGCACCGAAGGCAGGTATGCCAGCTCGTGCGAGTCGACGGCCCCTGCTGCACCCTGTGGTGGTGGTGGGGCAAGGCCCGTAGCTACCGGCGCATCGTCGGTGGCCGTCGCGGGGAAGTAGACGGTCACGGCTTTGGAGGGGTGGACGGGCACGTCGAGGGTGATGGCGTAGGGGTCGTCGGGGAGGAGCTGTTGGATCTCGGGGTAGATGGCGGAGAGGGAGCTGAGCTCGACATCGCGGGGGTTGTCGAAGTCGACGTCGTCGTCGGCCATGTCTGGCTTTTGTTACTCGGTGTGCTGCTGGGTATCAAGCCAAGAAAAGCAAAGCGTTTCGTGATGACGAGGTCCGACGGAGGGGCGCCGAGGGTTCCGTCTTGCTACCTACGCCCGTCGTTTCGAGGTAGCGTAGTGATTATGAGCAGTAAAGATTCCATGCGTGGAGAAGGCCAAGGGATGAAAAAGAAAAAAAAAAACGGCCAACCACAATGGCGACAAGTGCATGCACTTTTATCAACTCGGGAGATCCTTCGCGGTCGGTTCGCCCCGCTGAATCCCGGCCCGGAACGTTATCCGCGGAGGATGTCGTTGAGTTTGTCAGCCCTACCACAGAAACAGGCAGCGCAGGACTCTCCAGTGTCACGGCATCTCGGGCGATTCTTGATTTATCGCGGGTTCTCGAGAATTAGGTTTTAAGAGCCGAAAGCCGGGGGCAAAAAAAAAACCGTTTACCGCTTTCGAATCGCCTAGAAGCCTAAATCCGTACGCTGGTGGTGGTTAGAATTGCAGGTTGAGAACCCCCACCCGCCAAAAAAAGTTGCAATCCATCCGATGACTCGTCTCGGCCACGGCACTCCATCTGGCACTGTGCTCAGTGAAGTCCCACTGTGGTGGTGCAATTTGCGGGGGCCGGCTCCTACTAACGGCCTGGGCCGATTGGCCCCTGCACCACACCTGCGGGCCAGCTGCCAGCCACAACAGCCCCTGTCGCTGGAGTCTCGCCTGTCCTTTTGCCTTCCGTGTCCTGTGGTCCGGCCGGCTGGGTCTTCGTTTCGTGAAACTCCAAACCAACCAACAAAACAACAACCGCTGTGTTTACGAGCGTTCTAGCCAAGATAAAAGCCGTGACAGGTCTCACTCAAAATCAGTCCGTTCGGGGCAATCTTGCCAGTTTTATCTCCCAATTTCAGGCAAAAAAACACAATGCAATAACCACGCCAATCTTTCCTGTCCTCGCGATACTCCCTCCATCTTAACTGAAATCACAGCTCTCACTTTCGACTTCCAGATTTCAATTCTCATCCTTGACCTCGAATCGCTCTCCCACCACCCACAACCGCAACCATGGCCGACGACGTCACCCCGCTCGCCTCTCTCTCCCTCACCCATGTCTACTATGTCCGTTCCCTTCTCCCTTCTTGTCCCCCTTCTAACCACCGCATCAACACACCCCACCCTGAAACCTCATACTAACACCCCCCAGAACCCCTCCGACCCCCTCTCAACCCTCTCCGCCTTCCTCTCTCTCCTCCCGCAAGCCCTCATGATAGTCTACGTCACCCTCTTCTGGTCCACCCGCGAAGCCGAAGTCCTCCTCATGTTCCTCGGCCAACTCGCCTGCGAAGCCGTCAACTTCATCCTCAAACGTCTTATCAAAGAGGAGCGGCCCAAACTCCTCACCGACGCTGCTGGGGGCGCCGCCGTGGGACACGGATACGGCATGCCGAGTTCCCACGCGCAGTTTGTTTTCTTTTGGGCGGTGGCGTTGACGTTGTTTTTGGTGGTGAGGCATCGGCCGGTGAAGTTGGGACGGGTGGTCTCTGCTGCTGCGGCCGTAGCTACGGTTAATGCTGCGCCGGGAGTGCCGGGGGTGGGTGTTGCTTCGCCTGCTGCTGTGTCTACGTCTGCTACGTCCGCAGATACTACTATCTCCAAGGCTGACGCCGACCCCACACTCATCAACATCCACCGCGCCTACCTTACCGGCGGTCTCCCAGCCCTAACCTCCTCCATCGAAGCCTACTCGCACACGCACTGGACGCTCCCGCAACGCTTCCTCGTCAGCGCGGGCGCCGCGCTCGTCGCGGCACTCGTCGCATGGAGCCGCGTATATCTGGGGTATCACACCGTGCGACAGGTGCTGGCGGGGTGTGCGGCCGGTGTGGTGTGTGGTGTGGGGTGGTTTACGGCGACATATGTGTTGAGAGAGACGGGGTTGTTGGCGTGGGGGTTGGAGACGCCGCCGGCGAGGTGCTTAAGGATTCGGGATTTGGTGGTGGTGGAGGATTTGCCGCAGGCGGGGTGGGAGAAGTGGGAGGGGAAGAGGAGGGCTGCGTTGGAGAGTAGACGGGCTGAGGTGGGGGGGAGGGGGAAGAAGGAGCAATAGAGGAATGGGAGGTGGTGTGATGAACGAGGGAGAAGTAGGTAAATAAACATGTTACAAGATTTGAATGTATGAAAATGACATCCATCGGAGTCTACATATACCCCTTAAAACTCGGGTATATTTCTAAATCTTCTAGAACTCCCCGGGAATTCCGCTTTAAACTTCCACACTCCAACGCCCCCCTAGTCCCATCGTACAAGAATCGGGCACTCCCTTTTGGAGCTCCCACATCACCAACACTCTTCAATCTGAATAATATCCTACACCCCATCTTAAAATCCTCCTGGAAGAAAACCCCTTACCGATACACCCCACCATTGTTCTCATACCGATGCCCGTCCCCGTAACTCGAATAGTTCCCCATCGGGATATTGTCCCCAGCACCGCCCAAATACGGCGTCTCATACTTGCTCGTCCCGTTACCCAACCCTCCATATCCACCACCGCCACCACCGCCAGCCCCAACGCCCGCACCAGCACCAGTACCGTGGCTGCTGTTGTGATCGACATGCGTCTGCTCCGTCGTATAGCTATCACGCAAATCATCCGGGGTCGAATGTTCCGGCAGGATGTTAGGGTTCTGGGTGTCCGTGGCATTGGTGCGCTTGCGGCCAAACCCCAAGAAGCCCAGGAAGCCGCCGCGCTTCTCGGGCTTGGTGGTGCCGTCGTTGTGGCCGTAGCCAGAGGTGTAGTCGTTGGCCGGCGAGGGGCCGAAACGCATCTCCTTCTTATGGTGGCGGACGAGCCAGAGGCTGACGAAGGGGGAGAGGGCGAAGAAGAGGCTGGTTGGTCTGTGTTAGCTTACTGTCGTTGTTTTTGGTGTTGAAAGAAAGAGTGACGGAGAGGGAGAGAGAAACGTACACAGCAACTATCGAAACCGCCAACGACGCCGTCTCCATCTTGCACGCCGTGCGCAAACTCGGCAACGCCGTAAACCCATCACCAGTACCCTTCTTATCCCCCACATTCGTCTCCGCATTCCCCCTTCCATACGGCGTATCAACATCCCCCGTGCACGTCGACGCGCCGCCGCGGTTGGCCGACGCAACATAAATAAACGCGCCGAGGAAAGCCACATCGAGCACCATCATCAAGAAGGACGGGAACGAGCGCCCCGCGCAGCAGCACAGCGAGAGGATGGTCAGTGCCGTGTAGGCTACCCCGACGCCCGAGATGCCCTCGACTGCTCGGACCCATACGTCGATGGGGAGGTTGTGGTTGTTGAGGGTTGCGAGGAAGTAGGAGAAGAGCGCGAGGACGATGGCTGCGCAGCAGAATTGGACGGAGCGTATGAAGAATTGGAGGCCCCGGAGGGCGATGCCCGCGCCCCTGCCCATTGTGTCGTCGGGATCTTAAAATCTCGGGTGGTGTGTTTTCCCCTGGCTTCGTTTATTGGTGGTTTGTTCGTTTGTCTTGTTTGTCGTCGATATTTCGAAGAATAGTCGTTGTCGTAATACAACGTAAAACAACAGTCGAGCGTTGATAGGTGTGAATGTCGATATCAAGTACCGGGTGGCACAAAAGGCGTCGACATTCGGAAAAAGAAAGCTTGAAAAAAGTCGGTTGCACTCAGAAAGGGGGGACAGAAGAGAAGAAACAAGGTCAAAGATTCGAGAAAGACCCGGAACACATACGACTTCCCCACGGCACAGCCTTAAAGAAAGGCGGCCCTGCGGCCAGTCTGGGGCGGAAAGGGTGGCAGACCGGGATCTGTGGATCGGCCGGGAGCCAATGGCCCACCCGCCCTCTTCACAGTAATGCATAGTAATAACTACATAAAACAAACCTCGAAAAAACGGGCGCGGCAGACGCGGCCTGTTGCATCATTGTCAAAGGGCCGTGGCCTCGACCACCCGGCCCGTCAAAACTTAACCCTCCGCCCTCTCACCATCAAAGAGGAAAAACTTTCAAGACTTCACAAGTCTCTCTATGTTTGTCCTTCGGAAATAGCCCGTCAAGGTCCACCAAAAACCCGCCAAAATATGAAAAACTCTCCTCAGTTCCCATTGTGATCAACCAAAAGTCTCCAGCTGGCGTTGTCGCTCGCCGCTGCCCAATCAAGCCAATCAGGTGATTCCACCGTCACAGATGCCCGGCCCGGGCGATGCCGATCCGATCGCTGAAACGCCCTGTGGGTTTCTTTCGTTTGGTCGTTTGCAAGTTTGCCGTGCGCGTTCGCTGTTGCTGCGGCCGCCCTCCATGACGAATCCCGATGCCCCAGCGGGCTTTCCCATTGATTTGAGGTCCAGCGCATGCCCCACCGGTGACGTAAGAGTGTGCATTTTGGAGGGGCAGATCGGAGAGCTTCAGCCACGGTTCGGCAGCTGAGGCACTCTTGGCACAGCCACGGTGGCGCAGGGATACTGGGACAACTCTCTCCATATTTCTGTTCGCGAAGGGTTGTGTTACTATAACCCTAACCCGAAGCCGGTCGAGGCATGGAGAAGAGCCGACAGCCCGATTTGAGGTGCAACTCGGCGGCCATCGAGGTTCAACGCGGGCATCGAGTTATAAGCAGAGCATCGGGGTGCACTACAGGCATTGAACCGCGGGAGGCTCAATAAAGCCATCGAACCGTGTGAGATACAAGGGGGCCGTCGAACTACGCGAGTTGCAAGAAGGCCATTGAACAATATGCCTACAGCTCGCGCGGTTCGATGGCCGTGTTGCACAGTGCGTTGGTGGAGTGTAAATTGGGGTAATGACAATGCAACTAACCGATCTATAGATATTCAACTTACTCATGGACCTACTTAAACCACCTAGCGGCCTGCGACTCACACTCGTGCGCCACGGTATTAATCCGTGCGAGGCCACGACTTTTCTTCCTTTAAAGATGTTCGTCTTGGTTAGTCCTCTTGGGCGCGATAATGGGCGCTGTGACTTTGCTCCTGGGCCAGGCTGCAGGCTGCAGTGGGAGGGCCGCCCGGGAGACCGAGCAGAGGGAAACGTTATCTCAGGAGCGCAAATGGGACTGAGCGAAGGAAAGAGGGACCGAACGCCATTCTGGGAGAGCATAAAAAGCCGTGGGATTTTGCGTGCGTTGAACTTTGGACTCTCACCAACACTGTCTGTTTCCTGAAATCCATCCTTGCTATTCTCCAAGATCAATACATCCGCACAACACTCATAACTCAAGTACCAGTCACTTACCAGATATACAGCCCAAACCTACACCATGTCCTACACTATGTCGATCCCCAAAGATAGCCAGGCGTGGTTCGTTCTTTGCATAATCAAGAAGTATGCTGAGGAACAAACCTTAACCCTCTATCCCGGTGTCGAGTTAAAGGCCCCCGTACCGCCGTCTGCCTTTCTACCGACATCGATGTGCGAAGCATTGGCTCGGGCAGTTATGAGCAAAGACTTCGTGGCCGGCGACCTCGACCAATTGACCCGGCAAGTCCCCGGGCTTGGTAACTGGCTGTGGCTCACTGACTACGGCTATGGCCTGGTCGCCGAGTGTGCGCGCGCACGAAAGGAGGGTATGGAACAGTGGAAAAGGCATCAGGAGAAAGTCGAACCCAGAGGTATGTACGAGTCAACTGGATCACAATCCCGCGCCAGCTTTGAGCCCAACTGCACTGGGTCTATCATTTTCGCCGTCCCCATCCACTGCCCAGGACCAAGCTTTGCAGCCCCTGCTAACATCGCCCTCATTGTCAGCCACAGCTAGGCCGCCGGGTATCGCGGAAATATGGGGTATTGGGAAACCGATAAATATCATGTTTCCCTAAACTGATCCGGGGATGCGGCGGTGGCGAGAATCTGTGACTCGGTGCATGACATTGCGATTGTGGGTGCAGACCCAACCCGACCCTTCCACTTGGCGTGCGATGCAAGCGTGACCGCAACGGGAGCGGTGCTGTTCCAGCTCCCAGAGACGGTAAACCCTACAGCAGAGTACCACGAAAAATCCCACTTCAACAGCTTGAGCTTCAACATGTTCCTCTCCTTCGCGTTAAAGGACGGGGAACTAGCCAATGTTTGTGAGGATGGGATGACCCAAAGTCCGGCCTGTTTCCTAGGTGCGCTGAAACGGTGGTGGGGTTCAAGGTTAAACCAAACAATGTTGCTGGTTCGTCCGATATGTCGAAGACTTGGGATGGATTGAGAAGTAGCAAAATACATATGAGAGGCAAACAATTCAGAAATTATAATGAACTCTCTCAACGCTGGTTACCCGTCAGAACGTTTTTACAAGGTGACACTTCACCCACCCACGGTTGCTCTCTCCATGTAATTACATTCAATCTTTCTCTGCTTGCATTTCACCTCGCTCCCTAATACCCAGCTGCTGGTAGTCCACATCCCAAATCCTCGTCCCAGAAACCACCGCGCCTTCCTACCTCCGTTTGCAACTGAGTAACGGCAGGAATCAGCCGTCCCCCCCTTCCCTGTGAACTCACAACTCGCTCTCCAGGAAACAAGCAGCGTCCCGTCCATCCTCTCATGACGAAATCCACGCCATCCTGTCCCCCAACAAATGATTGGGAAACCCCTTTGGTGTAGTGGTTAACATAGCGGATTCTCAGTGACACGGCTTCCGTTGCCCGGGGTTCGATTCCCCGAAGGGGTGGTTCTTTTTGCGGATTTTTTGTCTTTTGAGGATTGTTGTGTTGTTGAGTCGTTGAGGGTTGGAACTTCTGAGCTTTTTTCGTTCGAAACAGAGGTTACAACTCGACCACAGTACGATTGACTGAGCAGACCCAGCAAAAATTTCAAGACTATTTCTCAAGGCAGATTCTGAGACTTATATTGTGATACCTTCTACCTACGGCAGACAGAAGTTTGTTACTTCTGAAATTGTGCATGGCCCCAACGGAGTCGGCCGTCTCTTGTTTCAACCGGAGAACACGAATCAATTGAAGAAAACACGAAAACCCTTGCTGCAACCCTTGCTTCACGGGAACCATCTTGTCTTTATAAAACTTGTAGACGGCATTTGAAACAACCCCGAGCCGTTGTGGTTGTGTTCCCCAACACCCGAGATGGTGTCAGTGGTTCCTTCCCAAAGCGGAAGTCTCACGACGGCCTTGTGTCGGTGTGGGTCTCCAAATCCGCAGCCAATTCCTTGCTGCTTCTCTCCGAAGTTTGCACTCAACCAACAACCTAGTTAATCTTTCCTCTTGCTACTCCGTACGGAGTATTGACCAAACAATCTTCAATACCGAGCCTCACAACTCCCACGTGCCGTCTCAAGGTTACAGCTTGATGCCAAGGCATCCATACCACCCAAGATCGGAAAGTCACTCAGAAGCGGTTGCGGCGTGGGACGATCGCCAGCGGCTGATCGGCACGAAAGGAAGCTCCGGAATCGACTTCGAACCTGGAACCCCTGTCGCTGTGTTCAGACGACTCACAAGTGCCTGCATACTGCGTATCGACTTGCAGACGGGGCTTGCAGGAAACGTGCAGACACGAGGACTTGCACCTATTGGTAAAACTGGGCATATCTTTGGTGTGCCGAATTAGGTTGGTGACGATAAAGATGTTTCTTCCCTTCGGATCGGTTTCTCTTGGGAGTGAGGGAGTCGGTCGACAACACATCCTGCGACGAGAAGGACGAGCACGACGTGGCCTGCCTTTCCCGACTCGGAACTCCCAGGCGAGCTAACTGCAATCCAGAGTGGCCGGGCGTTCAATAATCAATAGTCAATAGTCACCACTGGAAAACGTCCTAAGCAAGAGCCGCCGCCAATTGCAAAAATGTCTCGAACTCGGCGCCGAGCCGCCAGGGCTTCCCAGCCCCACAAGAACATGCGATGCTGTGGTCTGTGGACGGTTCTGGCTTTCGCAGAACCTCCCAAAACGGCGAACACAGCGGATTTGCGGCTGGAAATAGTTATCGAGAAATTCGATAAGCTAACCCAGCAGTGCCAGCACCAATGGGATGTTCGACAAATCCGGATCAAACGGCGCCTTAGCGGGGCCACAGAGTCGCCTGGTGGGATCGAATCGCTGGAAAAAAAGGGCGAGCCGAGACCCTGGGAAATACGAGCGACAGGGGTAAGGTAACCAGCCGCACAGTGACCCGCGAACCCGCGAGGGAGAGAGGATGTGCTGCAGGGGTGGTTTTTGGTGGTGGGTTCACTGTTGGCGCGCGTGGGAGGTCACATCGTCCCGCTCACGCTTTGGGTTTGCCCAGACTCTCTTCACGGGCTGAGCTGAGTCTGGGCGGGCTGCAGTAACGTTAGCTGCTTGCTGGGTTGGGGGAACGGGGGAATCGGCACACCGGGGGCCGGGTTCGATGAAAGAAAAAAAGAGGGAAAAAAAAAAAGGTTCTCCCCCCCTCATCGACGCCCAACATGCGCGGGTTGAAGGGAATCTTGCGATAACCTCTCTTTTCCTCTCACTCACACTCGCTCGGCGTCCTCGCTGTCATCCTTTGCGTGCTTGCCATTTCGGTGTATACCCTCGCTTTTCCTCTCGGCTGACGGCTCATGTTTACTGCTTGCTCTTGTCTTTGTTGATTTACCTCCCGAGTTAGAGCAGACGCCGTAAGGTAACCTCATCAGTTGAGATCACAGGCATAACTCGGCGTTGTCTGTCCACTCATTTTCCCTCATCAGCCTCGAGATCAGATTCCGGGATACCGCACTGGTCGTCCATAACCCAACACCAACATGAGAACACGAGCAGCGCCGGCGTACGCCGGTCTGCTGTCCCTCGCGGTGCAGACCGGGCGCGTAGCTGCGGATCCGACATGGCCGGCGGCGACAGACCACATGGAGGAGATTGTGTACCAACTGCAGGGCGTCGAGGGGAGCCTGTTCAACGATATCATTACGCCGTGCAACAATGAGGCGGCTGGGCCGGGGCGGGTGACGGCTAGTGAGTGGTTGAGGGTGGGGTTTCAGTAGGTGTTTTATTTTTGGTTGGGGTTTTGATGTTGGGGTTTGTTCAAGTCAGGGTTTTGGAGTTTAGGAGAGTCGAGGTCGAAGGGGGGATGATGGAGATGTGGGAGATCATGCGGGGTTGATGGTACCTCAGGAAAACTCAGGTTCTATAAAGGAAGTCAGACACCAAGAGAACACAAAGCTGACTCCTCTAGTGATATGGCCCCCGCCAACCGCTACTTCGGCACGGGCGGCGTCGACGGCTCGCTGCAGTTCGAGCTCAACAACGGCGAGAACACAGGCCCCGGGCACGCCACAACGCTCCAGTTCATGGCCAACTACTACACGTCCCGGTCCAGCCTCGCCGACCTCATCGCCGCGGGGGTGTACGCCTCGGTCCGGTCCTGCGGCGGGCCCATCGTACCGCTCCGCCTGGGCCGCGTCGACGCCACGCAGGCCGGCAGCGCGGGGGTACCGCAACCCCAAAACTCCATCGTCTCCTTCCAGCAACAGTTCGACCGCATGGGGTTCAACGCCACCGAGATGATCCAGCTGGTGGCGTGCGGGCACACCCTGGGCAACGTGCACAGCACCGAGTTCCCGCAGATCGTACCCGCGGCAACGGGGCAGATCCCCTTCGACACGAGCAACGCGGCGTACGACAACAAGGTGGCGGCCGAGTATGTCTCCGGAAACACCAGCAACCCGCTGGTGGTTGGGTTGTCGATCGCGTCCGGGCGCAACTCGGACTTCAAGGTGTACAACTCGGACCGCAACGTCACCATCGCCGCGCTGGCTGCCGACCCGGCGTTGTACCGCGCGACGTGCCAGCGGGTGCTGCAGAAGATGATTGAGGTGGTGCCGCAGGGGGTGGTGCTGACTGCGGATCCCATCGCGCCGTATGAGGTCAAGCCGGTGAATGTGCAGTTGACGCTGAACGAGGGGGGCTCGACGTTGGCGTTGACGGGGTCGATCCGTGTGCGCACGACTGAGGTGCCGGGGGATTCGATTGATAGTGTGGTGTTGACGTGGAAGGACCGGAATGGGGGGGATAGTTGCGGGTCGTCGGGGTCGTGCTCGGTGTCGGCTACGCTGCAGGGGGTTGGCCAGGGGTTTGATGATACCTTTGGGGTGAGTATCTGCTAGAGTTTTTTTTCAACGTTTGACGTTGTCTTGGTGTCTTGGTTAGATTGATGTTGCCGCTAACGCTCTGCTCACGTCTAGTTCTTCCCCATCGCGGCCACGATCCCGACCGCAGCCGGCATCTCGTCCTTCACCCTCACCGTGAAGCTCAAAGACGGCACCAGCAAGACCTACGACAACAACGGCCACGCCTACCCCGTCCCCGACGCCGTGATCCTGCAGAAGCCCCAGAGCTGTCTGCTGCAGGGCAGCGGGGCGCTCACCGTGTCGGCCCTCGTGCGCAACGACCTGGCCGATCTCCCCGTGAACCTCACCGTGACCTATCTAACACCCCGCGGCACGGCCGACGGCAACCCCGTGCCGGCTTTGAACAATGCCGAGATCGTGATGACCAAGGGAGACTGTGTTGGGAAATACACCTTCTTCTCGGGCAGCTTTACCATTCCCGGCGGACTGAGCTATAACGCCAGGATTGGTGTGACCGTTGGCGAGGGGGAGACGGCGCACACCAAGGATTTCTTCAAGGCTAGTGATTTCCCGGGTACGTGTGGTACTTTTACGGGGGGTGCGACCTGTGGTGGTGTGACTACTTCTTCTGCCGTGCCGTCATCGACTACTACTACTTCGACAACTTCCGACCCTGGATCTACCACGACCTCCACCACCATCACAACCAGCGACCCCCCCAGCGCCACCACAACAACATCAACAACCTCCGCCCCCACGCCCGCCGTCAAACCCACCGTCGGCGGCTACACCTTCCAAGCCTGCTGGACCGAAGGCACCGGCTCCCGCGCCCTCACCGGCGCCTCCTTCGCCTACGACACCATGACCCTCGAGTCCTGCATGACCAACTGCACCGCCGGCGGCTTCGACTACTTCGCCACCGAGTACGCCCGCGAATGCTACTGCGGCAACTCCCTCCACGCCACCAGCTCCCAGGCCCCTTCCCCAGACGACTGCAACATGCTCTGCGCGGGGGACCCGTCCGAGTTCTGCGGCGCCGGGAATAGGCTCGAGTTGTATTCTACTACGGCTACGCGCACGACGTCGGCTACGCCGGCGCCTACGGCGACGCTGGCGAGGAAGGAGGTGGTGGGCGGGTATAGGTTGGTGGGGTGTCAGAAGGAGAGTTCGGTGCTGGGGGTGAGAGCGTTGAGTGGGATGCCGGTGTTGGCGGTGGACGGGTTGACGTTGGAGGGGTGTGCGGTGTATTGTGGGGGGTGGGAGTATTTTGGGGCCGAGTATGGGCGGGAGTGTGAGTATCTGCCTACCTACATACCCAATCCGGGCATCCCTAAGCATCGAGTCACTTTGGATGTGAACGCAGCTAACAGTTTGGGATATAGGCTACTGCGGAAACACCATCAACGGGGACAGCGTGCCGGCGGCCCAGGGGGACTGCAGCATGACTTGTGCGGGGGATCCGTTTGAGTATTGTGGTGCTGGGGATCGGTTGGAGTTGTATCGGCTGGCGAGTGCCACTGCTACTGCTACTGCTACTGCTACTGCTTCTGCCACTCCTGCTTCAGGGTAAGACGGTGGTGTTTTTTCCATTGAACCGGTTGTCAGCCATCGCTGGCTCCATCATGAGAGGAGAACAATCGAGTTGTTGAATCAAGGAGACAAGAGCTCACCAGAGATATCATCATTGAAGGCGGGATGGGTGCCGGGGGGGGAAAGGATATAATTAATGAGGTCTAATGAAGCGTTCTGAAATTCATTGGGATATTTATCATATCATGGCTACTATTCTTATCGTCCCATCTACTCGGGACGATTCAGTCGTATGCTGGGATATTAACTCGGGTATGTTACAGATGATCCGGACGGCTGCCAGCTCCAGTTGATGCAGAGCATGACGCACCGGTATGCACCTACTTCGTAATGCATATATAACACATACATATATGTACCTATGTCAAAGCGTTTCAAGTCAAAATGTTGAAAACATGCTGTACAGCGGAGAACCTTGTGTCCGGCTGAGAACCTTACCTACGTACAGTTGATATCCAAAAGTCCAACCCGCCCTCCATCTATAAATTGCCATACCTCCCCTCGAAAATGACCAAATATCCATATCATCTCCCTTCAATAAATTCCTCCAACACATTATTTTACAGATTCCCCAACTTATTCCTTGGACAAATCCCTTAACAAATCCCTTCCACAATTCCCTTCTCCAACCACCACCAAAAATGCCCTCCCTAACCACCCTCGCCTTCCGCATCACAACCAACCTCCCCGCCGGCCAACCCCTTCCCACCCGCGCCATTCACACCCCCACCGCCACCACCAACCCCCTCAATCCCACCGCTATCACCACCATCCCCGGCAGCATCCCCGACAGCAGCATCCCCGACAGCAGCATCCCCGACAGCAGCATCCCCAGCAGCAGCATCCCCAGCAGCAGCATCCCCGGGAGCAGCATGTATACCTTCCACCCTTAGTCCTCAACCTAGACCAGGTTGAGGGAACTGCCGGTTCTGACAAAAAGGGAGAAGAGGTATATTGTGAAGATGGCGGAACGCAAACCGGGGGAGATGGGGGTGGGGATGTTGGTGTGAGACCCAGGGGGGGTAGCACGGGGGATAGGGATGGGGATCAGAGGGGGGGGAGGGAGGAGGAGGATGATGGGTTGTGGACGCCTCTTTGGTTGAGGGGGGAAGAAGAGGAGGAGGAGGAGGGGGGTGAGGGGGAGGACGATATTGGAGATGAGGAGGAGTATGTAGGGGAGAGGGTGAGGAGGAAGGGGAAGGCGTTGTTTGGGGATTGTTGGAAGGCTGTTATGTAGGGTGTACTGTAGAGGTTATCTGTTGGGGGTGATTGATTGACTAACTTGAGTCTTTCTTTAATTTGTGTCACTGCGGTGAAGCTGAGGTTGATATTGTCATCCGAAGCTCAATATTTCTGTTTCGATCAAAGTATAGGGCAAACAACCGCAGTGAATCACATATATAGTCTAAGTTAGTGCTGTTCGCAAGAGAGTTGAGCTGGGGCTTTTCGACACGGACAACCCGATCATCTAACGGGCGTGGTGTCGTTAGTGGCAGCTTATACGTGATTACTCAATAAAATTACTGACTTTAGTCTCAATGAAGTGGATATTATAGTTATATGTTATGCTTGCGTGTATTTTTGTCCTTTCCGTGACTAATATCGCAAAACAAACAGCCACCGCTTAGGACTCATTAACAATATAATTAAGCACGATTAAAAACAACACCATCCACCTTACAATTCCAAATCCCCCCTTCAACCCAACTAAACCAACCCCCTAAAACCCTCAACATAACCCACGTGGCCGCTCGTCCGTTTTTTTTTTTTTTTTTTTTTTTTTGGTATTTTTATCCCGGTTCCATTTCCATCATCGCTGTCATCATCAGACAAACTTCTAAAAAAAAAGGCTGGCGGTTATCCACGGCATAGACCTTCCCATGTCTCAGTTACACGAAAGAAGGGAGGTCACGGTCGACGGTCAGGGGTGCAACCACATTGTTTGTCAAGTTTGTCAACTGGCAGGCTGGCTGACAGGCTGACCTGGTGTGACTTGATCTTACCGAGGTGTGTCTACATGTACGTTCACTTGTGCTGGGCTGGGCTGCGGTGAACGAACCTTTGGCCGTTGTCTTTCTTCCTCTGGTTGAATGTGGAATCTGGAATTTGGTTCTGGGTGGAAATGGTCGTTGTTACCAATCATTCGGTGTCACTCGCTTGTAAGCGATTTGTTTTGTTCGCTGGGAGAAATCTCGATTAATAATTCGAGCACGTTCAATGTATACGTTAGTTGGGCTTGGTGCAAAGCGCGATGGTGGTTCAATGCAAAATTTGTCGCCTTCGTAACAGTAACTGCTGTTTTTTCTTTCTTGAGGTTGTTCCGTCGGACGAGGGACCAATATACGGCCGCTTTCTCTCTATTGACGGGCTGAAGAGTTATGACGTCTCCAATGTTAGCTCAACAAACAATCCCCTACACCCTACTGCGTAGGTCCGTCGATGTCCGCGTGATGTTCCGAGTCTTCACCGCGAGACTGCCACCCAAATACTACCTTCCTTCACCCCTCATCCCTGTTGACAACGGTCTCTCCCCTTGGTCGGGTCGCTCCCGAGAACAGAGCACAACACGGCGCGTCCCTTGAAAGTATCCTCCATAACCTGGAATGGGAGCAAAGTTGGAGATTGTATATCGCCCTGCCTGCGCTGGCTTTATTCCCAAGTCTTACACAGCCTTCCCAACCAAACCACGAATCCAACCCATTGAACTTTTTCTCACCTGTGATTGATCTGTGAGTCTGTGTCCCCTGAGTGTACAAATACCCCTGTCCATCCCAACGCGCATGAATCCCCCCCGAACCCCTCCCCCGCCATCGCCCCTCTAACTCCGGCCCGGCCGCCAATCGCAATGGCCAATTCCACTCCTGGATTTCCCAAACGATCCAATTCCCGATCCGATCCCAACCCAGTCGCCGGGAAAGGACGGAGCTTTTGGAGCGGGCTTCCTCACCAACAATTCTTGCTCTCCAGGTGTAGCTCGCGAATAACGAACTAGCGAAACTCTGGGAGAAGACACCCCGGCCGGGGAAAATAGGGGAAAGGAGGCCTGTTTGTCTGGGGTCGAGTCCGAGGGGCTAGCGGGGTTGGTGGTGGATGGAAAGCGCGGAGAAGAGAGGGGTCGGTTTGTGGATGTGTGGGGTTTTGTTTTTCTCAGAGTTTTCGCCGTTGACAAGGAAGGCTTCAGACGTTGGGGAATTGTCAACCAGTTGATGTTGTTTGGTTACTTGGGAGTATGGAGGAAGTGGGACCGCCAATTTGGTGGTCCATGATGAAGGATGATTTCCATACTGTACATTCGGGTGATAGAATAATTAGAAGCATCAACTGAAGGCAACAGTCGAGCTTGACACCGACTCTTACCCCTTCAGTAAAAACTGGGTACAGGACTGATAAACATGAGTGTTTGACAAAACGATCCTCACTGACAGCCCTGGCCGCGGACCGGGCGTGTAAATTTACGGCACCGTTCACGGTCCGTGGACGATCTCGGGGCCCGACGGAGGCGGACGGATACGGTGATGCCGGTGGGGACCCCAGGTTTGAAGCTTCCATGAACAGCCCCACCATCGGCCGATGCATCCTGGACCTGACTCGGGGATCAAAGCGGCTTGAATTTTCGACGGCGCCGGTTTCGAGAATAGGGGTTGCGAGGGATTGCAGCTTGTCAGTGAGTGATGGGCAAAGTCTGAGATGCTGCTGTATCGATGGCTGGTTGTGCTTGACTTAATCCCTTTGATCGAAGGCTCGAAGGTGAAGCTCGCTAGGTAGGCCGATCGTTACGCCCGGGTGAAGGAAGGGTCTCGCGACAGGGTTCAAGAGACTAACCCCGATTCAACACCTGTTGATGCGCAACATGGGCCAAATCCTTGACTTGCAGCGCAGCTCCGAATCTCGCCGATGCCCTTCCTGTTTTGGCAACTCTTTACGGGAAACGACGTTCATTCAGTATGGAAGATTCTCTGCTCGCAGCAATGTACATTAGTTCGGGAGTGCTTCTCATGTTGGGATTCCGCAGCAGATGAGTGTTGGCTAAAGATATCATAAGTGACAAGTTCAGACCAGGCCGTTCTCGGCGGCAAGGGCGCATTCTCGGTTCGGACTAACGGCTTTGGTTGTGATTCGCCGGCTCGCCCTTTCGCGGTGACGCGGGCGACCAGGCGGTTGACCGATGGCCGCGTCGACATTGTTCGCTCCAGGCTTCTCAAAACTTACAAAACGTCACCGAACAGGTCTTGTACATACAAAGCCACTAACGATGTGTGCCTGTCCTTGTTGCAGCAATTGTGCCCCAATGATGGATGTGATTGTACGAAACCATTCCCTGGCCCCATTGTACATACACACCGCTTGACATCGTCGTTTGCGGTGGTCGCGTGTCGCTTGATTTGGGCTTGAGATGGGTACCTCACGATGCCACCGACGCAGGCTTTCTGTCGGGCGCCTCTAGCCCTTCTGCTGATCCTCTACGCAACATCCAGGCCAAGCTCCTCATAGTTTTGTCGTCAAGGTGAGGACCGGGCGCGGGCGTTTGACCGATGATCCCCTCCGTCTTCTCACCTCCCTTGGCACAAGACACAAACCAAGCCAAGCCAGGCTGGCGACCTGGGCCCGGGTTGCGACAGCGGGAGTTCACACGTGTGGTTGCGGGCTCTGAACGAATAACGATGCAGCAGGCGGTGCTGATTGGTTTCTCCGCGTGGCGCTTGGCGGAATGAGGCATGGCATGAGAGAATGATGGGGAACAGTTTCTGTTGGAATTCTGGTGGGGCTTGCGAGAGATGACAGCATCCATCGGACCAGCCTTTTCCTCTCTCGTGTAATTGCCCCAATCAGAGGGCAGGAATTCTGGCCTGCGGTTTTGCGCGAGCCTTGGTTTGCGGTGTGCGGTGGGTCCAACGCTGGGCCGGGGTCGGGTGAAGGGCTCGATTTGGGGCCGGCTCCAGACCCCAGGTGACAACATGCATTCTGTTGCGGTCCAGGGGAAGAATGTTTTTCTTGTGTGTGTCTGTAATTCCTTTCCGGCGATTTTTCTGTGCCTTGCGCTTACAATTTTGAACCCTCGTGATGCATGTGAGGGTCTTGGCGGCCTCGGGTTCATGTGCATGGACCTGAGCAATTTTGAAACTTTGATCGATCGTTATTCCTTTGAGCTCCGTCATCTGACACTGCCAATGCTAACTTGGGGTGATATTAATGGGTGACAATTGAAAGTCAAGATAGGACCACAAGGAGTACCGGTGGACTCCGGCTCGTCAGGGAAGGTCTCCGCCGTGTTTCGTGTGAAAAAAGGGGCGGGAAGGCGGCGTTGGCAGCTCGCCACTGATGAGGAAGGAGTCAACGAAATATGCGGCCTTTCCTGGCTCGCGACTGCCGCTTGTCGATGGAGCATCGCCCGCAAGGTCCCCACGATTCCTAAACAGGATATCCATGACCCCAGCCTTGGCCCGGTATTGAAGTGGCACCACCCCGGGGTCTCCATCTTTTAACACTGCGGGTACGTATCGCGGTTCGCGGCTTGTGACTCTGGGGAAAGTGCCATGGCTCGATATAATGGCTGGGCCCCTCCTCTCCACCGAGAGGCTCGCATTCACTCTCCTTTTACTCTAAACTTACTCCCATTTTACACCTCTGTCTGGTGTTTTGGCACTATTTCTTGGCCATCAACACTCAAACGACCTGTCAACATCACGGCCTCACGAGAGTTGAATACAGCCTCACACGACGCACATATACATCACACGTAGGAGCCGTTCTCGCCCTGGATTCCCCGAGTCTCGACCACGCCACCGTTTGATCAGAATCAATTCCTCTTTGGGTACACAGCGAAAGTGCGAGTTCGAGGCCCCGGCCACAAACACACCGCCATACTAGCCAATTCATGTTCCTCACCTCACAAATACCTTCACGATGTCGGATCACGGCGATACACCTTCACCCCGGTCGTCATCGGAGCAGGCAAGCTCCATGTCTCCTCCTCCCGCGCCTGCCTCAACCACCGAGCCTACATCGTCCTCCAAGAAGCGCGCCTCAGTAGCGGGAGAGGGCAAGGCCACCAAGCGACGGGCCGCGCGGGCTTGTGTGTCCTGCCGGGCTCGCAAAGTGCGGTGCGATGTTGTTGAGGGCGCCCCTTGCGGGAATTGCCGTTGGGACGACGTGGAATGCATCGTTCAGGAAAGCCGCAGGCGGAAGTAAGTTCTAGGGCCCGTCCGGAAGCCAGGAAAGGTGGGGGGTAGAGCGGTTCGGGATTGGAGACGGCATTCGGGCTGCCTTATCCGGCTTCGCAAGCCGTTCCAAATTCTGCTTGTGAAGCGGGAAATGAACGCCCTGCATCCATCTATCCTATCCTTTTGCCTCTCTTCCCCTTCCTTTCCTTATTTTCCCCTGCATTGCGTCATTTTTTTCAAATGCCAAAAAGCAGACACGGAAGCAAGAGACGGGAGGCTAACTTCGGCACCCCTGCCGTGGTAGAAAAACTCTCCCGTACAACTGCGGCCCTGCATCAGCGGGGGCGCGTACTGGGAGTGCCGAGGCACTGCGCACCAAAAGTATAGGCGCTGCTCCTCCCATTATTACGGCCAATCTTGCGAAGCAGCAGCAACACCAGCGGCCGCAACAACCAACTTTTGTTTCCCATGGATCCTTTTCTATGCCTACCAACGGGGCCAACGGTGGACAGGCCGCTTCAAATTTACTGTGTAAGTCTTGGAACTCTCCGATTTCTCCAATCTTGGGGCACTGTCATTCCCCTCTTGAAACCCCATTTTCCCCTTTTGCCCCCCTGCGCCCCGCGTGACCCCACCCAGCCCGGCCGTGAAGAATCACATGCCAGGGCACGGTGGTGGACCAGGGGCCGGGAACAGGGAAAGATGAGAAAACAATGCCGCCCACCATCAAAAAAAGTTTCTGGCTTGTGACAGAGCTTCTGGTCTGACATGTGCTTCTCACAGACCAACCGAGCGCTGGTGCATTCACCGCTCCTGCGTCGGCGACCCTGACCGACTTCTCTCCGGCGACTGCCGGCATCCCGGAGTCCCCGGCCCTCCTTCACCCGCTCTTCCGGACCGCTCTCGACCGGGCCCACCATGAGTGGCCGGCGTTCATCAAGCCCATTCCGGATCGGATCCTGTCCGAAGACCGGCAGTACCTCGTTCAGAAGCAGGTCTTCTCATTACCGCCCTTACCTCTTCAGAATGCTCTGCTTGCAGCCTATGTCGAGTTTGTGCATCCTTACATGCCGCTCTTGGAGCTGCAAGACCTGCTTCGGGTGATCAACGACCGGACCGGGGCGTCGGGCAAACTTAGCCTGTTCCTGTACCATGCCGTCATGTTCTCGGCTACCGCCTTTGTGGACGAGATCCTTCTGAAGGAAGCGGGCTACGATAGCCGTCGCGATGCCAGAAGAGCCTTCTTCTCTCGGACAAGGGTAAGTAGAATTTACTCGAGCGGTATGTTAGCTGGCGGATTGAGACTGACTTCCGGTGTAGCTCCTCTACGACTTCGATTACGAGACGGACCGTTTGATCCTCGTACAAGGTCTGCTGCTTATGACATACTGGTACGAGACGCCAGACGACCAAAAGGATACATGGCACTGGATGGGCGTTGCTATCTCACTCGCCCACACCATCGGTCTCCACCGCGATCCGGCCAAGACACCCATGGTTCCACAGAAGCAGAAGTTGTGGAAGCGTATCTGGTGGTCCTGCCTCATGCGTGACCGCCTCGTCGCCCTCGGCATGCGACGCCCGACCCGGATCAAGGGCGAAGACTTCGACGTCCCCGTGCTCAACGAGGATGATTTTGAGATCGCCGCCCTCCCTGAGGAGAACCAATTGCTCGGACCCGAGTGCGCTTTGATCCGCGACATGGAGATGCAGCGCGAGCTTGCCATCATGTGCATCGAAAAGGCCAAGCTGTGCATGTTCATCGGCGACATGCTCAGAGTGCAATACTCGGTCCTCAGCCGCAGTGGTATGGGTCCGGAGCACACCACCAACAGCACACACATGTTGCTGCCCAACAAGAACGGCGAGAACATGGAGGAAGTCGAGAATGTCGACCGCCATCTCCAAGATTGGCTCGCCAGCCTTCCTACAGCCTGTCAGCACCGGCCCCTCAACACAACGAACGTTACCGAGGCCAACAAGGTCCTGGCCGTGCAGCGTAACCTCTTACACATGATTTACCACACCACTATCTCTGCGTTGCACCGCCCGCTCTTCCTCCCTGCCTCGCCTACCGAAGGCCCCAGCACCCCCGTCGACGTGCAGGAGACTGCCCGCCAGCGGGTCCGCGAAGCGGCCGAGAACATCACCCGCATGGCTGCCGAGATGCGCCAGCACAACCTCGAGCGATTCCTCCCCACCACGGGCGTGACTGTAATCCTCCCGGCTATGATTGTCCACATGCTCGACACCAAGAGCCAAGTCCCAGAAACCCGCGACTCCGCGATCCAAGGCTTAAAAGAATGCCTTACCGTCATGAGCAATCTGCGCAACATCTATGCCGCGGCCGATTTTGCAACCGGGTTCCTCGACGCTCTCCTGCGCAAGGGCATGCTCGGCCAACAACAGGGCTCGCCTGCTCCCGCGCCTGGCCCCACTGCTGCCACACCGGTGGGCATGAAGTCTTCCAAGATGCTCCATCGTGTCCTTGCCCCGGCACTAAACATCAGCCCCCAGGGCATGCTGTCAGGAATGGCCGACCGGTCGTCGACCCCGCCACCTGAGAACGTGTTCCTGAACTTGCGAACGACCGCCAACGACAACAACCGGAACAATATGTTCACCGCCGCACGTTTTTCGCAAGAACCCCCAACCACCATGGCCCCGACTGCCGCGCAATTCATCCCCGATACCAACGCCGACGACAGCTCCGTTGACTTGTCCGCCCTCGCAGCGGCCGTTGGTGCCGCCACCCCGCCTCACACCGACAGCGAGGATGCCGATGTGGAGATGGCCAATATGGCTGATACCATCATCGGTGCTGTCGGCTTGGACTTGAGCGGGGCTAACGCGACTCTTGGTGGGTTCGGGGACGGCGTCACGCCCGGTGGCGGACCGGTTGTGGGTAACCTCGACTTTGACCAGTGGCTACAGTTCCCTGCCGAAGGAGGGCTGAGCACTTCAGATGACTCGTTTATGGGCGGTATGTTTGCTGCGGGAGCTAGTGAGCACCAGCCTCTCCAAGGGGGGTTGGAGCTTGGAAGTGAGTGGATGAGCCTGCCGGAGGGTATTAGCCATTAATTCTCTTGCATTTTAGCGGGATTGTTCTTGGCTTTTTTTTTTTTCGTTTCTTGTTTACCACCTTTGGTATCTTTTTTTTCACACTTTGCCCTACCCGCGGTCGTCGGCATTTAGTTGGGTATAAGGGCCGGCGACCGGCCTTTCTGGGCGGGTTGGTTTTGAGATAATATGGATTACTTGGGCATGGGTTGGATCTGGAATGGACACATGACGGCGGCGTCTGGGTTGAATGACTTGGCCTCGGGTTTAAGAGAGCCAGAGAACGTACATATTTACCTTCGTGATGGTTTTTTAAAAGGCCATGTATGGGATTTGGGCCGGAAGACAAAAGCTCTAGGGTTAAGGAGGCATATCCGGCTAATCATTGAGGAATTCATGAATATCTAAACACTTTCTTGGCCGTGTTTCGTGTTGATAGTGGGCAGTATTTACGAAGTAACTAACAGCTAACCATGGCCAGCTAAGAAATGAGTAGGAAGTTAGTCTGAGAAGCTAAGCTCTTCATGGATTTAACACCCAGAGACATACATTACCGTCTCATAAGACCAGGGTTTGTTAAGCTGGGGGCATCCAAGTTACTTCCTCAAGAGGATTTGTTTGTATCATGAAGACAAGGGAGATGAAAATTCAAAGTGATCTTGTTTGCTCGACAAAGTGATGGCTTGTCAAAAAGCCAGCAACATTGGATTTTACGTCCTGCTTGCAACCGAGAGATGCAATGCGAATTTGATGCAGCCATCCGACGATTTGTCAGACTAACCAGGCATGTTGAGGGAGACCGGGAGGTTGGTCTGGGCTTTCGTCCGTTGCGGCCGCCAGGCGGCCCGTTTCACTCCCGGCCCAGCCCATGTTTCTCACCTCACCTCGCCTCGCCTAGCCCCCCAGGTGCCACGATGTATGACCCCGTCTGTGGTAAAGCTTCAGCCACCGTCGGTTGACTGGGACACAAACCTTGTCGGGGTCGAGACCTTCGGACTCCGGGGACCTGTTCGTTTCGGTTGCGTTGCTCGGCCACCAGCGAGCGCCTTCGGGGGACTCGGTTCTTGGGATATGAAAAAGCAAGAAAAGTGGATTTTTTTTGGGTTTCCGGGCGCAGTCCTGGCCACCTCGTGGAGTTGTTTTCGTCATCTTGTTCCCTCTGGGTGGAGCATCGCAATCTTGAAGAGTTCGAGCTTGTGTCCGGGGGGGGGGACAAAATGTGGCTTCGGATGGTCGCTGGGGGTTCATAAATTCAATATGGTCCGTGCGGTCCCTGTTGGAGCAGAAAGCTTTCCCAAACGGCTTTCATGACGCGCCTTAGCGCGTTTTTTCGTTGCTCTAACGCTCGGTCACTGAGATTTTGCGGTGGGTTTGTTAGGGAGCTGGTAGGGGTCCGAGCTTGTGTGGGACCATCATGGCCCGTTTAGGAAAGCACCTGACCTGCCAAGAACCCCAAAGAGGTTTAGACCAGCCGCTTCGGCCGAAATCAAATCTCCAAGAAAGCAGATCCGGTCGCACGCCAGATCCCCATCCCGTGTCCGCGGCTTCTCCAATTTAATCTGGCCTGGGTGCCTCATTTTGAGGGCCGGCCCTTCCTTCCATCTCACGCGTTCCCGGCTCTCCTGCTCTCCCCCGCCCACAAGGAAACTTCTTTTGTCGCTCGCTCTGTCTCTCTCTTGCCGCGTTTGTTGTCTTTTGCGGCGCAACCCTCGTTTATTCCGTTTCAACTTCTTGACAACTGACCACAGTCCCCTGCCGCGAGCCTGCGGTTTCATCTTCTCGTCCCATCATTCGCTTTCTCATCCCGCTGCATAAACGCCCACATTGCTTGGGTGGCGGTTGTCTTTTTGGGAACCGGAGTTTATACCCGCGCCTATACGTCGCACCTTCTAGGCCAACACATACTCATACCCACCTCACCACGCTCGTTTGACGTTTCACGGTGCCCAACCTTCCTTCGGCAGCCGCCCGCCTCATTTTCTGTCTCTCCTTTCTTTCTCTCGCTCGTTCTTTCAGCTGCAGCACGCGCCTGCTTGCCAGCTTGGACAGCAGCAGCATCCTCCGCCCTGCCGGTCAGCTTGTCTCTTGTCTTGTGTCATTTCCTCAGCGAATCAATCCGCTGTGGGCCAAGCTCGGAGCAAGCGGGGAGCAGCAGCAGCAAGGCGGCAATCAGACGCACAGCAGACGCACAGCTCAGCGGCCTCTTGTCCCACACCGAGCGAATCACAGCAGGCCTCCCAGCCTCGCCCAACGACGCGGTCGCCCTTCTTTTACCGACTAACTATGGGAACTTTCGAAAGACGGCTTTGTACTGTTTCGCCGGGTTCGTAGAAAAGGGCCATCCATTATGCTGGGCGCCGCCCGTCCCAGACGCCAACGCTATCACAAACCACCATCATCACCATCGTCGTTTCGTCCCGGCTCACTGTCGGCCACAAACACACGCGACGACATCGTAACTGAGAGACTAACAACTAAAACTATCAACAAATCATGAACGAATCGCCACTGGCCCGGGCATCGACGCACCTCGCGCCGGCCCGGGGCCGCCCGCTCCGGTCGACGTCCGAAACGTCCCCCACGCGACACCGAAACACCGACGACCTTCTTTCAAATCTGACCCCGCGAACGGTGGTCGATGCCTTCCGGAACCCCTCGGGTACCCTGAGGGCCTGCATGCAGGCGGCAACCCCGGCGGAGCAGGCCTTTGCCCTGCGGGTTGCCATTGCCTCCAACAGCATACACGAATGGCTGGCCGAGCTGTCCGCTTGGTCGTGGCCCACGAGTGGGGGCTCTGCGGGATTTGAGATGCCCGCCGTGAAGAGGAAGCTTTTCGCGTCGCCCTCACCGCAACAACAAAAACAGGAATACTACGGAAGCGTCCTGGCGTCCGACGTAGAAAGGTACGAGAGGCGCATTGACCGCATTGCGCAGGAGCTAGAGGAGCTCGATATCGAGGAGATCAAGAGCCAGGTCCTAAACAACCACATCATGCCGCTTTCCCGGCCCGGGACCCCTATGATGGACTCAGCCCGCTCTGTCATGTCTCTTTCTAGCATTTCGAGGCTGGACGATTTGACGGCCATCGTCATGGCCACGACTGTCCAGGCACTGCCGAATCTTTCCAGGCTTGTTAGGCTCATGGGTACTTGGAACTTTCGCCTCTTGGTGCTGCGCAAGATCCCAGTCTTCCTGACGTCCATTGCGGGTGCCGAGACCGCTTTGCAGTCTGGCTGGAAGACGATCAACGCCCCCAAAGGCCAAAATGGTGCATCTCATGCCGCGCCAGCACCCCTGTCTCGCGAGGAGTGCGACGTCATGAAGGCTGTCTTGGGAAGCAAAGTCGCCAAGGCCGGTCGCGACCTGGACGCCATGCTGGACATGCTCGAGGGCCAACAAGACACCCTCCCGGCGGAATGGATTGACAGGATAGACACGCTTGAGCAGGGGTACGGCGAATGGACCGTGGCCTGTGACAGGAAGCTCAAGGAAGCTGACTTGGCTGCCGCGGCGGCTCGGGCTGCTCCCAAGAGCGTCCCGGCTGCTGTCAGTGCCCAGTCACTAGGCGGCGACGGATCCAATGACAGTGTGGACAGCCCCAGTTCTACGCCTGCTGTCCGGCCTCCAGTCATCAAGGTTCATCACACCGCTGACGACGGAACCGCTTCGACTGATGAAGACTGCCCGGATACTGACAACGAGTTTGATGCGATGACACCGGACGGATCGGACGATGTGGGGGATTCCTCGGTGCTCGTAACCCGACCGGACGCACCAAACACAGATGCACCCGGCTCCGACTCTGAACTCTCAGATATTGCGGAGGATGGGGTGTTCCGGATGGAAGACACAACAGGCTTGGATGAGGGACCCAGCATGTTTACGGACTCCTTTTCTAGTGACATGATTGACCAGAGCACGCCTGAGCGCCCCCGCCCGCGACCAACAGACGCCACCGATATTCCCGAGACGGACCCATTCCGCTCGACCGCGAGGTCGTTCTCTGTGAGCTTTAACGACATGCCCACTGTGGCGGAACTTCCGAGCTTCCCGAGCCCTCCGGGCACTCCGAGCAGGTCGGGCATTGTGGAGGACGACGGGGTTACGGAGCCTAACACGCCCGTTGAGAGGAGCGTGCCCGGCTTGGACGACCATTTGCAGAAGCAGATTAGCGAGATTCTCGAGTCGGTCCCGGCTAAAATCCGGCTGTCTGCGGAGCTCCCGGCCGTCAACCTCAACCCGCCGGATTTTAAGATGCCCACGCTGCGGAGGAGCTCGCGGCCCGAGGTCATTCACCGCACCCAGTCTAACACGTCCATGCGCTCGGCCTATTCTCGCTCCGCAACGCCATCCTTCACACTTGCGCCTGTCCGTCGCCCGCGACAACAACGTGGGAACCAGGAGATCAAGATTTATCACCTCTCCCGGTCCACCGGTGAGGCACCCATCAAGTTGTTCATCCGTTGCGTGGGAGAGCACGGCGAGCGGGTCATGGTGCGGGTGGGTGGTGGTTGGGCCGACCTGGGGGAGTACCTCAAGGAATACGCCAGCCACCATCTCCGCCGCGCTGTCGCTCCGGGCGCAGATAGCAAGGTCGAGGTCAAGGACATCCCTCGCCCCGGATCTGTCCGCCCCGCCGATTCCACGCCGCCGAGCCGGCCATCGTCCGCCATGGATTCTCACTCCCCCATCTCCCCCTTGAAACTCCGCAAAACGCGCAACCCGGCGGCAGCCGACGACGAGCCCCATCGCCAACACCGACGGGCGTCCGCCGCACGGCCCAAAACGCCGCTCGCCAACATCAGCAAGCTCTCAGCCACCCCACCCTCGGACGCGTCGTCGTCCGTCCGGTCGTGCTCGAGCTCGCGTGTCAGCTGGGACGAGGAGGACGCGACGACCGCGCTAGGCATGGCCGGCCCGCGCGCCAAGCGGATCGAGATGAGCGAGGAGAGAAAGGCGTGGGTCGAGACCATTGAGCGGAAGGTCCGGATTGCCAGTTACGAGCGGAAGCCGGCTCCTACTCCGTCTCTGCATGCCCCTGCGAACGGCCATGCTACGCGTCCTGCTAGTGCTGCGGCTGGTGATCTGGGCGGGGCCGGGTTGGAGGCGAGTTTGATGGACCGCGGGAGGGCGGACGGGAAAGGGAAGGGGGGGATGTTTGGGGAGATGGGGAAAGCTGGGAGCACGACAAGGTTATTTAGGAAGGCTGGATAAGCCTTGGGAGGGTGGTGTTTTGTCTGTATCATGGGAGGAGTGCTTTGATTTATTTTTACGGCCACGACTGGGCGCCCATGGTGGATAGGTTGGGTAAGGTCGGGTCAAACAACAAAGGTCAGGGTCTGAATACGGGCATTATGGGGCTGGCGGGTGCTTTACTCGGGGTTATCAATTGGATGGGGAAGAATCAACATTCCTTTTCCTGCTTTCCCTTTGTCAAGGCCAGGTCAGGCAAGGTCAGGTCAGGCAAGGCAAGGCGCGGAGAAAGGGGAGTAAGCAGGGGGGATAGGGGATAGGAAGGGATTGTTGACTTTTGAGAGTAGTCGTTATTATTATTAGTTGCATGGCATGGCATAGCACGGATAGCACGGATGGATCGGGATTGGGATGGTACGATACAAGATACCCCTTGGGAAATTGGGGAATGGAAGGGAAGGGGGTGGGGGCAGGGCAAAGGCGAGGCGGACTTATTTGTAGCAAGCAGACGGATGGGTGGCAGGCAATACAGCATATTCTACTTTACATATGTGGACTGGGCGTGCGATACCTGTGCTTCATGGACTTTGGAGGTGGTGATTGCTTACACTGTCTGGGTGAGTCGTTGTCTTTGGTTGTCAGGGTTCTTCCGCTTCAGTTTCCTTCTGCTTCGTGTTCCTCCCGTATTGGGTTCCTCCCGATTTGATTTCCTCCTGTGTTAGATCCCCCCGTGTTAACTTCCTAGGTAAGCTGTTATTGTTATTACCACGCCCAATGTAGTCAATGTAGTGCAGTTGTACCGTAGCGCATGTCAAAGAGTGAGGGTTTCAGAGTTACCGACTTCACTCCACTTCACTTCACTTCACCTCTGATGACCGGCACTTTTGCTTCTTTTCCACTTCGCCTTCTTTTTCTGGTGCGTGTACTCCTCTTCTTGTGGTGTGGTGAGAATGTTACTTACTGGGAGTGTTTTACCGAGTGTAGTATCGGATTATCCGAGGTAGTCAGAGCTATTATTAGATTATTAGATCGGTCGTTGTTTTGGGACGGAGACACTGAGACGGAGGTACGGAAGGACGGAGGTAACATCATCGGCGGGTTAGAACTTACACTACTGTGGAGAAGGGCGGGTTAGAAGGGTTGAAAGGGAGTGCGTGGGGGAGGCTGCTTACTACACTACACGTGGGTTACTGTGTAATAGTCCATGGATGTATGTACACTACAACACTGCAGTACCTCGGTCGTTAATTAGGGAGGCTGTTTGTTGTCGGTGTATTGGAGGTTGGTTGGTGGCTTGGATGGGAGGGTGTTGTCTGGATTGTTTGTGTTGTTTGTGTTGTATGTGTTGTATGTGTTGTGTGTGTTGTGTGTGTTGTGTGTGGGTGTCATACTGGTGGGATGGATGGAATTAGTTTGGCTGAATGGAATCTGTCTGAACTGCATCTGTGTGGGATTTGTTTAGTTGATGAGATTGTGGGAGTATGATCAAGACGTTGGACACTGACTTTCCAAGCAGTGAAGGTGAGTACATGTTAAATTCCGCTGTACTGTCTCATAGATACTTTTGTGGATTATATCCAATCCCTAGCATTTGTACATCCAATTCTCTCCATCTTTATACAACCCACTATTACCAATATCCAACTCTATCTCCTCGTAGATACACCTAAAAATCCCCCCTCGCCTTCAACGACACGGCAATCTTCAAGTCCGCCTCAACATACGCCGTCAACTGCTTTTTCGTGTCCTCGCTTACCGCTCCCGTCTGCGGATCCGAATCCGCACACCCCTTCAACTGCTGGAAGTACCAGCTATGCGCATCAAAATCCAACGCGGTCGTGCCGGCGTTGCACCCGGTGCTAGCATACCCCTCGCAGTACTTCACCTCGTCCGTGGTCAACACCCCGTCGGAGCCCGCGTCAATCCAGTACTCCGGGCTGGTATGGCGGTAGTTGAGCAGGAGGGGCGGCAGGCGGGGGACGGGATCGTCGGAGTGGGTGACGCGGTATTCGCGGCCCGGTTGGGCGGTGACGTATTCGGCGAAGGCGAGGTTGCCGACGCGCGGGGAACCGTAGGTGTACAGGTCGACAGGGACGCCGGCGTCGCGGAGGGAGGCTGCGGCGAGGGTGGCGACGGCGCCGCCGAGGGAGTGACCCGTGGAGATCACGGAGAAGGAGGGGTTTGCGGTGAGCGCGGCGGTGACGGCGGCGTGAGCGCGGTCGGCCACTTCGAGCCAGGAGGCGTAGAAGCCGGTGTGGACGAGGCAGCCGGAGGTGAAGTCGCAGGGGACTTGGACGGCGAGAAGGCTGGGGGGGGGGTGATGGTTAGTAAGAATGGGATATTTCCTTCTCGTTGTAGGGAAGGGAGGTGAGCGAGGGCGAACTTACTCGGCGATGGTGTTGGCGGTGGTGGTGGTCCCCCTGAAAGAGACGACGATTTGCTTGCTCGCAGGGTCGATACCGACAAAACCCTCCATGTCCAAGAGAGAACCACTGTAGTTACGGCAATGGTAAGTTAGATCAAGTTATTTCTTCAAGACGGTGACCATCATGATACTCGAAACCAAAAAGGCTTACCCGAAAGAGGCAACGACAGTTGCGCCATGGGACTCAAACAAGGTGCATTGGCCCTCAACGCAGGTCACCGGCTGGCCAGCGGCCCTCTTGCCGTTGCACGAAGCGGCAGAGGACCACTGGGCGAACAGCTTGAGGGCATCGAACTCCTGGGGCGTCACGACATCTTTGTCGTTCCATGTTAGAGTTACAGAAGAGAATAAGTGAGGGACGTTGTGCGAGTTGTAAACTTACCTCGTCTGTTCAAGCTTGGCGCTCCGAGTACGACAGACGCCAGCGAGAGGCCGGCGAACACAAGACCCTTCATGTTGGCTGATCTGGAGTATTTCCCAGGGATCTAGAAGATCGAAGGTCACACGGGATCAAGGAGGTCTACCCAGACACAGCAGTCGTGCGTCCACAGGCTTCTTCTTGATGGCAGGACAAGACAGAGGATGTCTCGGATTTATCAACCTTGGCTGCGCAAGCGCCGGGGATCGAAGACATCTCTCAACAGCGGCGTCCGTCTATTGGCTTTTATATTGGGCCACTGGGCCTCGCCCAGTCTCGCCCAGTCCCCCGCAGGGGTGAGGAGATGGGGAAAGCAAACACTGCCTCGGAGCCGCGGAGCATGGGGAAAGCAAAGGAGGGCTGCTGCGTAGTGTACACAGTAAGTTAGGCCAAGTCGGCGGACCACAGTTACATCCGAAACCCCGAACACGGGGTCGGTCTCGTCCGGAGAACCAATACCACGACATCGCGAGTTCTCTATTCCGGCGATGGTGGTGTGGGGGAGAGGGGAAAGGCTGCATGTGTGTGTGTGTGTGTGTGGTGTGCATCTCTGGAGAATGTCACCGAGTCCTGCGTATGCCGTCTCGTCCATGGCGACTCTGACTGGGCAGGTGGTCGGCGGGAAACCTGAGCCACACCGCTGTGTGGTGGAAGCAGAACATCGGATTCGTCCAAGATCTCTGTGCCTCAGTGTGAAAGTTGAGCTCCGACTGGGCTGACAAGCCTGAGGCTGTCAGTGGCGTGCATGGTCAGCGGCGCGGGATGACCCGTTTTGATTGCCGATCGTCGCCAAGGACGTGCAAGTGACTTTTTCTCAGCTGCGAGACAGACAAGACAGACTCACAAAGTCGGCCAAGTCATGGTATTTTTAGAGGACCATCACATAAAAAAAGCAGTCAGCGCCAAGCGCAATTTGGTCCAGTTCTTGGTGGCGTGCTTAACGAGGTGAGAACCGACATTTTGGAATGAATAGGCTTGCTGCGAACGGAAAAACGAGAAAAAAGAAATGCTAATAAATTAACGTTATGGTCCAGATCTCCCAAGCCCCAGCTGCACGATCGAGAGGGGTCAAATGCCGAAGCTGCATCGCATCCGCCCTGTCGAATGTACAAAGTATTGTACTCGGAGCACCGTGGGTTCCAAATTGCAGCAGACCTCGAAGGAAGAAGCTTGGGATTTTTCCCACCTTCTTTCCAGCCTTCTTTTCTTCTCTTCTCCCCGCAAGAGAATGCGGGGCATCGAACTGACCCGATGACCTTGAGGTGGAAGTCACGACCAAATCCCACGGGCGGAGGAATACTCTGCCCCGGCGGACAACTGTGGAGTGCAGATGCACAAATCTTGGAAGGGGTAACCCGGAAAGCATCGCCTTGCGCAACCCCACCAGACCTTCCCTTTCCAGAAGCCAGCGGCCGGGGTATTGGCCGAGCCGTGTGCTCTCTTTTGTGCTCCGTGCTGCGTTTCCTTTTGTGCATTTCTCTTTTGCCCGCTGTCTTTCCAGCTCCTCGGATTTGTTAAGTTCCGATTCTCAGCAAGGAACCCTCGCATTTGGCACGTTGCAGCCGTGTCTCTCTGACCACCACCACGTTTATTGCTCCGACAAATCGGCCTTGCACGAGATGGAGGAATTCCAGCTTCTCCGTTCCTCAGCTGGACCTTTCTCAGGTCCTAAGGCACTTGGAAAAGCCACTGGATGAGAGCTGCTCCGTTCTGGTGCTCGGCTGGATCTCTTCGAAAACCTGCTTTGTGCCACCGCACCTCCGCACACATGATCATACTTGGCCGCCCCGGATACAACTCTGTAGTGGAGAGACGGCCGTTTATTCGCCAAACCGCGTCAACGGATCAACAACTGGCTGGACTTGATCACAAACAGACCATACATGTAGCGGACGATGGTCGAACCGGCCGGCCGACTTTCCATGTTTGCTCTGTTCGCCGTTCGACACGGCGAGCTAACCTCTTTAATGGGTTGATGGGCGATGACGCCCGGGAAACAACATCCGACGCCATGCAAACCGTTTTCAAATGTCAACCTCTCGACTGACTAACCGACTACTACTATGTCCATACGTAGTAAGCAACTCGCAACGACCGAGGTAGTTTATATGCCTGAGATATCCCCCCATATGTTATATCCCCTCAAACTTGGTCTCGTCGCCGAGGACACCGCGGGGCATTGCCTTGGCTACCCAACCGGCAAATGAGAAGCACCCCACATTGAGGCGCGTCCTCTGGTTTGCCGGGCGCGCCAAGGTCGCAGCCATGTCTTGAATGAGCACATCTTGTGTCTGTCCCAGGCAGTCTAAGGCCGTCCATCCTCATTTCGGCCATCGTCCGTTGTTTTCTGGGGCGTTTTCTCCCTTTCCCTCACGGTCGTGGCCACCCTTCTAGGAGATGCCGACAGCGATGAGCCGCCCGTCGAGTTATCTAGATCCGCGCCTGTAGAATCCGGAGCCGGACGTAACCTTGCGTGTGCTGCGATCGGCCCGCCTCAGCTGGCTCCGGCAGTCTTTACCGAAACGCGCCCTGCTGGGGCTAGAACAAACAATAAATCCCAAGACGGGACGCGTGCCTGGCCGTCCCATTTGTCCGTTTGCAACCTCACCGTGCTATCTCGCCGTCTACCTTTTTGTTTGTTTGAATTGCGTGCGTGGGGGTCTTGACGAAGTGGTCGATATGGTCTACCACAACGCGGGCGCCAGCGTTTGGCTTTCGCTCGCTTTGAGCCCCTTTTTGGCTGCCTCGCCGGCACTTGCTCGCACTGTCGGTCCCAGAGATCCGGTCCCGGATGGATTCCATGCCGCGCCCTACTATCCCACGCCGTACGGCGGCTGGCTCGACTCGTGGAAGGACGCGTACACCAAGGCCGAAGCGTTGGTCTCGCAGATGACGTTGGCCGAGAAGACAAACATCACATCGGGCACTGGCATTTTTATGGGTAAATTACCCTGTGGCCCCTTTTGAGAATCAAGCGGCACCTGCTAACGTACTACCAGGGTCAGCATGATTACTTTCAGGTATTACTTACATTAATCGAATACCGGCACACTGACGAAATATCTAGGCCATGCGTGGGCAACACCGGGAGCATCGACCGACTCGGCTTTCCCCAGCTCTGCTTCCAGGACTCGGCTCTCGGCGTAGCATCCGCCGACAATGTCACGGCCTTCCCTCCTGGCATCACGACAGGCGCAACATGGGACAAGTCCCTGATGTATGCCCGTGCCGTGGCCATCGGTAAGGAGTTCCGCGGCAAGGGAACCAACGTCCACCTGGGACCTACCGTCGGTCCGCTCGGGCGGAAACCCCTGGGCGGGCGCAACTGGGAGGGTTTTGGCGCCGACCCTGTGCTCCAGGCCAAAGCCGCCGCGTTGCATATCCAGGGTGTGCAGGAGCAGGGCATCATTGCGACCATTAAGCATTACATTGGCAACGAGCAGGAGATGTACCGCATGTACAACCCCTTGCAGCCGGGGTACAGCGCAAACATTGGTTCGTACTGCGGCCGACCAGGGAATTTGACAGTCCTAGTATTGACATCGTCCAGATGACCGCACGCTTCACGAGCTGTACTTGTGGCCCTTTGCCGAGGCCGTCCACGCGGGTGTTGGGGCTGTTATGACGGCTTACAACGCCGTGAACGGGTCGGCCTCGTCCCAGCACAGCCATCTCATCAACGGCATCCTCAAGGACGAGCTCGGCTTCCAGGGCATGGTCATGTCGGACTGGCTGAGCCACATCTCGGGCGTCGATTCCGCCCTTGCGGGCCTCGACATGAACATGCCGGGCGACACCAACATCCCGCTGTTTGGCTTCAGTCTCTGGCAGTACGAGCTAACCCGGTCAGTGCTCAACGGCTCGGTGCCCGTGGACCGCCTGAACGACATGGCCACGCGCGTGGTGGCGACCTGGTACCAGATGAACCAGGACAAGGACCACCCGCGGCCCAACTTCTCGTCCAACACGCGCGACCGCGACGGCCTGCTGTACCCGGCCGCCCTGTTGTCGCCCGTCGGACAGGTCAACTGGTTCGTCAACGTACAGGACGACCACGCCCAGATTGCGCGCCAGGTCGCCCAGGACGCGATCACTCTACTCAAGAACGAGGACAACGCACTCCCGTTGTCGGGTTCCAGCAAGATCACTGTGTTTGGCACTGACGCGCAGGTCAACTCGGACGGACCCAATGCCTGCCTCAACCGGGCCTGCAATAAGGGCACGCTGGGCATGGGCTGGGGCTCGGGTGTTGCAGATTACCCGTACTTTGACGATCCGATCTCGGCGATCAAGAAGCGGGTTTCGGACGTGGAGTTTCACAACAGCGACAGCTTCCCTCTGATCTTTGATACCCCTGCCGATGATGAGATTGCGGTTGTTTTCATCAGCTCTGATGCTGGCGAAAACAGCTTCACCGTCGAGGGCAACCACGGCGACCGTGACTCAGCCAAGCTCGCCGCCTGGCACAACGGCGACCAGCTGGTCCAAAGAGCCGCAGCCAAGTTCAAGACCGTGATCGTCGTCGTCCACACCGTCGGCCCACTAATCCTCGAGCCCTGGATCGACCTCCCCTCCGTCAAAGCCGTCCTCTTCGCCCATCTACCAGGCCAAGAAGCCGGCGAGTCCCTCACCAACGTGCTCTTCGGCGACGTCTCCCCCAGCGGCCACCTCCCCTACTCCATCACCAAGTCCGCCACCGACTACCCCGACAGCATCGCCAACCTCCGCGGCTTCGCCCTCGGCCAGGTCCAAGACACCTACTCCGAAGGCCTCTACATCGACTACCGCTACCTCAACAAACAATCCACCCCGCCCCGCTTCGCCTTCGGCCACGGCCTCAGCTACACCACCTTCTCCTTCACCAACGCCACCATCACCCCGGTCACCACCCCTCTCTCCCTCATCCCCCCAGCCCGCCAACCCAAGGGCTCCACCCCTTCCTACTCCACCGCCCTCCCCCCGGCCTCCGAAGCCTACTACCCGGACAACTTCACCCCCATCTGGCGCTACCTCTACTCCTGGCTGCACAAACCCGAAGCCGACTCCGCCCACGCCATCGGCGCAGCCGGCACAAAGAAATACGACTACCCCGACGGCTACTCCACCGAGCAGAAACCGGGTCCCGCGGCAGGCGGCGCCGAAGGCGGCAACCCGGCGCTGTGGGATGTTGCGTGGGAAGTCAGCGTGGTGGTGACTAATACCGGGAAGGAACATAAGGGGAAGGCGTCGGTGCAGGCGTATGTGCAGTTTCCGGAGGGGATTCCGTATGATACGCCGACGGTGCAGTTGAGGGATTTTGAAAAGACGGGGGAGTTGGCGCCGGGGGAGAGTGAGACGGTGAAAGTGGTGTTGACGAGGAAGGATGTGAGTGTGTGGGATGTGGAACTGCAGAATTGGGTTCTTCCTGGGGCTGCGACGGAGGCTGCGAATAAGGGGTATACGGTTTGGATTGGGGAGGGGAGTGATCGGTTGTTTTTGGCGTGTCGGACTGAGGGGGGGAGTTGTGAGGAGGGGTTGGAGGGGCCGGGGGCGTAGAGCCGGATGTGCAGTGGAAAGTAATGATTTGGATAAGGGAGGTGGATGATGTTGGGTTTGATTCTGGGTGTGTGTGAAGTAACTGTGGATTTTTTGATCAATGTTAGTATCGTTGTACCGTATTATCGTTAATACCTGGTATATTTAGTGTTTATAGTGTATAGCGTTTGATACAGTACAAATCCTCGTATCAACCAAGCTCGGTCATTCCCTTCCCAGCATGCCGAAATCTCGTTTAGTGTCGTGAGAGCTACTATGTAGACGGATGCCGGTCTAGTTTGTATTTCTACTATTATAGCAATAAGATGGACCGCGCTGCTTACATAGTTACTTGAACCCAGTGAATGGCAGCTCTTCATCGGCTGGAAGTGGTATGTACGCTTTTGTTTTGCCCATAGCAGTTGACCACAAACGGTGGGCTTTGTTGATTTCATGAGCATGGACTGTCGCAAGGAATATGTAGTAGAAGTCTAAGGTTACAGCGTTGGAAGTCTCAGCTAGTTTCGGTGTGGTATAGCTCAAAATGAGTCAATCCTTGAAACGCAAGCTAGTCCCACTACATAGTACACAGTTCGGTTGGACGTAGAAACCTACTGCCTCCCTACTCAACGAGTAGAAAGTAGTAGACATATATCATGGAATCTACCCATGTTGCGGTGGGATTGTACAGTACATACTTGTTACACGGCACACCTGCTCATCAAGGGATTGCCGCCTAGGATCACCGGTGAGTGTTGTGAGCCTAGTCAGGGGTAAAACCTTGGTCGTCCTTCACCTAGCCAGAGTTCTTAAGGTCCTACCTCGGGTAGTTTATAGGTTCGAGAGGGATGTTTGCATCCTGAAATATCTTAACCTACCAGTGGTTCCTCAGGTCGCTCGTCCTCCTTTCGTTGTGACTGCTCCCCATGGTACCATCGTGGTCAAGGCCGAGCGTAGCACTGTGAGTTAGTACCACGCCTGGTACTGTAGGTAGCACATACGACTCCACGTACGGACGGACTAACAATTAGGTAGGTAGACGAAGGATCAGTTCTTATACTCCCATATGGTACATTTTACACCCCTTCTATGTCAGGTATAATATTCATACACCGATTCCTTCCCCTTGATGCCATTCCTTGTCCCTCTCGTCATCTATCGTCCACCCCAGCCTTGGGAATACTACCCCCTTCCTCCCTCCTATCTGGTAAAATATCTTCCCAACTCCCATCACCATACCCCCAAACCACCCACCCATATCCCAACCAACCCCCCCCAATTCTCCATCTGCCAAATCGTCCCCCACCTAGTCTCCCACCACCCATCACCCACTTATTCCCAACCCCACCCCTCTTGTCCGCGACTCAGTGAATAACCCCCTAATGCCCCAACTTCTTCCTCCCCTTCATCCTCCGTCGAACCAACATCTTCTGCCCCCCGCGACTCCGCTGCCGATTCAAAAACCCATGTCTCCTCTTCTGAATCAGCCTCGACGCGCCCGACATGGTAGGACGCGGTCCACACCGGATTTGGCTGGCTAAGCCTGCTAGGGCGGGGTGGGATGTTATTGAGGTGCGGGGGAGGAGGTCCAGCGTTGGCGCATCGGCGGCGGCGGGGCCGAGTGTTGAGGGGGTGGTGGTTGTGGTGGTGGGGTGGAGGAGGGTTTGGTTGGGGTTGCGGAAGATGTTTGCGGTGGAGGATGAGGAGGGGAGGGAGGGACGGAGGGTTGGAAGGTGGGAGATTGTGCTGCGGGGGTTAGCTCAGTCTTCAAGTTAAACTTAAAAAAGGGGGGGGGGAGTGAGGAACGCACCGAGTCGCCTTGGGCGTAGCAAGAGTAAACCCGCAGCGAGGGGCTAGTTGGCTGGTCGGCCGTCGCAGCGCCTGGAGCAGCGGGGATCGGAGGCTGACGCGGGACATTGTGGCGGTCGTGAGTCTCAATCTGTGTTGCGCCCGCGGGCGGTGGATCGAGCCGCTTTGTTTGCCGGGTGGGGGTGGTGTTTTGGTGTTGTCGTTGCTCGCGCGGGAGATCTCGTCAATCGAAGTTTTGGCGAGGTTCGGGATTGGGTGTGCCGAGCGGCTTTTGCGGGTGGCAGCTGGCCGGCAGCTGTCAGATTGACCGGCCTCAATGCTACAGCATCGGCCTCCTGCGTAGAAATTCAGAGTTCTCTCGAAATAGAACAACGCAAAAACATAGGAAACCCTCCAATGCTTGAGTTTTGGTTTCAATTTTAACTTGTTAGGTTAAGATAAGTCGCACGACTCGAAAAAAGGCTCTGGTGTCGCACCATTTTTAGGGGTAACGTTTGATGACATGCATATTACTACCTTACATATCTCGTCTATCTATCCGAAAATCAGTCTTAACACGATTCCCATCTACAACTCATCCCGCCCGGTGGCCGTCGCAACATCCTCACCCTCCGCCTTCTCACCCCCCTTCACCTCCACCTTCTGCGTCGGCTGCCACTCCAGCGCCTTCAACCGCTCCGATAAGATCGGGTGCGAGAAGTGGTAGCTGGCAAAGATCGGGTCGGCATCCATGGTGCTCAGATTCTGGATCTGCAGCTTGATCAGGGACCGCGCCAGCTCATCGTTGTACCCCAGGTTCTTGGCGAAAGCGTCCGCCTGGAACTCGAAGCGGCGGCTCAGGATGTTCATCAGCAGCTTGATAACATTGTCTAGAGGACCGAGGATGTCCGAGAAGAGCAGGAACCCAATGATGATGGGGTGCTGGTTGGTGAACCCGAAGTCTGCATAGAGGGAGTTGTTGTGCACAAAGACCGAGAAGAGAGAGAAGATGTAGAAGAAGTGAGCCTGCAATTACGTTAGCACAAATCCCTACGGTTAGAAATCAGGGCCACCAACCTGAGAGATGCCAAAGAGCTTGGTGGTGTGCCCGAGGCTCCAGTGACCCAATTCGTGCGCGAGCACGGCGACAACCTCGTCGCTCTCGCTCTTCTCAATAAGCGTGTCGTAGATCACAATGTGCTTCTTCCAGGGGAGACCGAAAAAGTAGGCGTTGCTGTGGGCGCTGCGCTTGCTGCCGTCGATGACGTACAGCTCGTGCAGCGGGAACTTGAGCTTCTTAGCCAAATCCTCGACATCCGTCTTGAGCTTGCCCTCGTCCAGCGGCGAAAGCTTGTTGAACATCGGGAGAATAACAATCGGGTAAATTGTAATCATAAAGACTTGGAGGAACGCCCCGAACATCCAGAGGTAGTAGAAGAACTGGTTGCCCGTCTTCTTGACGATGGACAGGAAACCGGCGAGAATCGGGGGAACGAGAGCGAAGGTCAGGATGTTGGTCTTGATAATGTCGGTGACGAACAGCTTCGGAGTCTGTTTGTTGAAGCCAAACTTCTCTTCCAGGACAAACGTGCTGTAGATGCTAGACGGCAGTGACAGGACTTGTTGGATGACAATAAACGAGAGGATGAAGACGATCGAGTGGGAGATCTCGCCGGTGAAGCGCGCGGGCGCCCAGCGGACGAGGAGGTCGCCAGTCCATGACCAGAGTTTTGGGAGTACGTCGAAGTGGTAGAAGGCTAGATTCTGAATTTGTCCGTAGAGACCGTTGAAACCGGTGAACTTGGCCTTGGCACGTCCGTAGGCCTGGCTCTTGTCGAAGACTTCCTGCGACACCTCGTGTTCGAGAACCTTGGGCGGCTTTGTCTTTTGGAGAATTTTGTACTGACGGTAGCCGAGAAGCCCCTCGAAAAGGTATTGGCCGACGGAGAAGCCAATGATCAGCTTCTTCCACGGGAACAGCGGGCGGTCCAGGAACCGCGCAAGGCGCTGCGGGACAGCACCGGGTTAGTTCGGGTCAATGCCAACGTTGTTTTTGAGCGCTTGTGACGTACCTGAAGAAAATCCATCGTCGCAAAGGGGCCGCGACTGTCCTGCGTCGCGGATCCAATTCAACGATGGGGATGTGGTTGGAGGTTGATGCACGAATGGCTGCGGCGCGCGGACAACAAGTTGTCCTTCGTTAGGGCGGGCGCAGCCTGCAGGTAATCACCGAGGTTTATCTTATCAGCAAACAAGCTCTTTCATTGGTTGATATTTCTCGCCCACCCCCCACCGAGACCCATGCTCGCCATGCCATCTCCATGAATTCCTCAGCGAATTCATTGAATTGCACTCTCCTTTGTCCTTCTTCTCTTCTCATTAGTGTGCTTCTCATTTGATCAATTGAATTCCCCACGAGAGCCAATGCTAAATAGTTTCTAGGGAGCTTTCTCGCCTAGCATCATTCCTGCCATCGCTACCGTTTCTCCCTTGTCTCCTTGTCACCCCGTTACTGTCTTGATATTCTCATGTTTGCTCGGACGCGCTCTAATAACTGCTCCCTGGTATCTGAGCTTTGAGGATAGAGGTTTCGCTACCCAAAACATCAGCATCAGCACAGCAAGGGATGTAACTGCCATTGGACCATAACCCACAGCTGCGAGCCACCGCCGTAATTCCTCCTTGGACCAAGTCCCCGGGTCACCTTTGGGATCCTGCTCTTGGGGGAACATGTCGCCGCCCCAGATTGCCCAGACGGCAACGCCCGTCACCAAGCCGCCGAAGGCTGCGAAGAGTTAGTGAGAGTTGGGCAGCAGCTTCTGGTATTGGATCTTACCAAGCAAGGCGTTCTATTACACTGTTAGTGAGGCGGCTTATTAGCCGTGTCGCAAAGCGGGTCGTGGCTCACCTTTGACTTCATCGCACGATCGAGTGGCGTCGGCATGTTGGTTGTTGTGCAAGCTGCGGAAATTTAAAGTGAGATGGAAAGACCAAAACTTATAAACGAGAAGTTAACGGGAACCTAAGAATGATTTTAAAAGTACGAATAATGCTCCTCACGACGTTACCTGTCAACTTCTGTCTGGCCTTCTCTCTGCCGAGGCGTGCTAACGCCACAGGCCGCGTCAACTCAGCCACGGACGAAGCTCGGACCACACACACCCCTGCCACTCGCCAAACCCATGAGATGCACCTGTCGGGGTCCCATCCCCACCAGTGAAGCCCACAGAAAATAATTTCGAGAAATCCAACCCGATCTTGGACCCGAGTACCCCTTCAGACCAGTTCAGGAGCCTCGACACAACCAGCCAAAATGCCTCAGGAAATCGGAGACATCAAGAAGGTGCGAATTTAAAACCCGACACTTTTACGGTCTTCGCGCATCCAAGGCAGTGTACTGACGGTTTTTTGCACAGTTCATCGAGATCTGCCGGCGGACGGATGCTTCCTGTACGTTTCGACACGAGAAAACGAACGAGCCAGACGAAATTGTTCCAATGGATGTGTTTTTCTAACCCTCCCATTTTAATAGCCGCCCGGATCAAGAAGAACAACAAGAGCCAGCAGATCAAGTTCAAGGTCCGCTGCCAGAGGTTCCTCTACACCCTGGTCCTGAAGGACTCTGAGAAGGCCGAGAAGCTTAAGCAGAGTCTCCCGCCCAGTAGGTCCCCCCCGCGGCACGGCCCGGACGAACATACCGAGAATGCAGCCAAGCTGACGATGGGTTTCCTCGCAATAGACCTCCAGATCAAGGATGTGCCCAAGAAGAACAAGCAGAAGTCGACATGAACTGTTGACGGGTCCTGAAGGGGAGACGGGTTAGGGCAAGAATGGGGAAAGCTGGCCCGGCACTGAGCGCGCGGGAGTGGGCACGATGGAAAGCACAAATGCATTTGCCGGTCCGGGTTGGACCTGGACTCAACAAACGGCGTCTCGGGTGGGAAATTCAATGCTGGGGAACTGATGCGATTGCTTGCTATGGTTTAACCCGCGATATAAGGGTGTGATGTAGTGGGCAAGGTTCCCCAGAAACGGAACTGCAATTCATCGGCCACGGCCACGACTCAGATCCCATGTTTCTTCCGTCTCCCTGCTCCCTCGCTCCGTCTTTTGACACTATGCTGTGAGCCTCCGCTTGTCCAGGGTTGTCCTGTCCCAGCGGCGGCTTTCACTCCAGCGAGAACCGCTGATAATGCTTCAGTTCCACGCGCGCGATCAAATCACGAATCTCGCCGTACTTAGGGAACTCCGCGCTCTCAGCAAAAGCAAAGTGCTGCGCAACGCTCTCCCAACCAGCAACCAACACAAACTCCTCCTCCTCAGCACCCTCTTCCCCATCCTCCCGCCACCCAAACCGCACCGCATGAGGGCGAGCAAACCGCTCCAAAATCCCACGAACCTCCTCAAATTTCGCCGCAAACCTCTCCCTATCCTCCCCCTTCTTAACATACATCCTCCCCAAACTAATAACCGGACTCTCCAACAACCCAACCTCCTCCCCCTCCCCCTTCTCCCCCGCAAACAGCACCCCACCAACATGCCACAACCCCGTATCCTCCGCAATCACCCACCCCTCCTTTCCCTTTCCCTCCTCCCCGTCTTCTTCCCCAGTAGTAGAGTCCCCCGCCCCCGCCTCTGTCAACCCGCCCATGACACCTGCATTCTCAGGACTCCGAATCCAATCCCAATGGGCCTCGACTGATGACCAAAGAGCGGTGGTGAGGATCCAGGAGGGGTCTTCGATCTGCCGGAACCAGTGGGCTGCGCGGGCGAGGGAGGAGGAGGGGAGGGAGGGGAAGGCGGTGGCGTGCCAGGTGTCTTGGATTTGCATGGCGTGGGAGAGGGTTTTGAGGAGGGGGGTTGGGAGGGGGGTAGGGGTGTTGGTGTTGGTGTTGGTGTCCGCGGGGGCGGTGGTGGTGGTGGATGAGGAGGGGGTGTTGAGGTGGAGGAGGGCGAATTCGGTGACTGTCATGTTGGCGGATTATCTTGTAAGTGACGGTCTTGGGTTAATTGCCTGGTTTGCCGGAGGGTTTAATTGTTAAGAGATGGCGTAAGACTCGTGGTGTAGTTGTCTCTGGCGAGATTCAACTTTCACCCGTCTGTCGCCATATGCGAGGGGCATTTATATGTTTTCTCTCGCGCATTTGAGGTGAGGAACCATGCTCGTTTCGAAGCAAGAATACAGCGTCGTTAGTGGTCAGTGGGAACTCTTTACCTAGCCGGAAACAGGCAGCTGGCCAACATTTTGCCGCGGGGTCTTAAGTCCGATCGAATTGCCCGCATAATAGACGCGTCTGCAATACGATCAACGCGACATAGCATACCAAAATCCTGGATTTCGTCAAGTGAGGTTGTAGATGTTAGGGATGGTGCTGAGTCAGGTACTAGTTTCTCTCTCAAACTCCACTCACTTTCCCGCGGACCGCCGCGGAAGCTGACACGGCCTTGGCAGCTGTTAATCGCCGTCAACTAACACTCGTCAACAGGTTTCATGAGAATGAATCTTTTGGCGGCACAGCGTCCCTCAACCTGGAAGCCAGAGCTTGTCCCGGTCTTAAGACGGACTTTGGGCCGAATCGGCCCCACGTGCGCCATGAGGACAAAACGGCGCAACGGCGGGTTGGATCCATGGCTCCCACGCTCCGAAACGGCATGGCTGCAGGTGACAGACGCAGTCTCACTTTCAACCAGCTCGTCCGCCCAGTGATAAGTTAGCATCTGCAAGCAGTGGTATCACGAGAGAGTGGTTAGTCAAGTTCGTCCTCAAATAAGATGCTGGATCCCGCCCGGCGTCTGCTCAATTTTGGACTAAATTTCCCCTCTACAACAGAAAAGAAACCACAATGGCCGAGCTAGGATGTGATGCCCAGCAGAGGAGTCACGGGGTCGTTGAAGTTTTCGGCGGAAATTGCTCGCCGCTGACCTTTGGGGGCACGGTCACTGGGCACCGCGGGGCAAGGGCCACAAAACGGTCCGTGGCCACTCATAGCTTCGATGGAATACCGCCCGGCTCCAGGCCCAGGCCTTTCCACTTTGGACTCCCGCTTGACTTGGCCCCCCCGGCCTGTATCGGCCGGTTCGGCCAGTCCTCCGTCCCACTCAACGTTTCCCTGCTGTTTCTCTCCCTTGGCTTTCTCGGCTTTTTCCCCCCAGCAACCCAGCCGGACGGAAAGGCCATTGGCACCAATCAACGTTTTCCAAGGTTCCAGAATGTCAGAATGCAACCCCAAATGCCCAAGACAATCAGGAACCCCCTGCTGCCCCTGTTCCAATCGTCATCGCGTGGAAGGCAGTGCCACAGAGCGAGCTCGGCCACTATTTTCCTCGAGAGCTGGCCCCCCCATCCCACGTTCCAGGCACGATTTCCCATCCGTTCCACCTGTGTGACCTGCTGAGCCGCAGAGCTTCGCTGATCTAGAAACAACCTCACGGGGAAGAAGGGAGGACTGTTGAATAACTATTTTTTTTTTTTTACGCCGCTGCATCAGGGCTGCTCTGCATCTGATCTCCGTGTGCAAAATCGAACTTGCACTTGTCCATACCGATCGAACCGGATTGCTGGGGCCTGCCGGGTTCTGGACTCCACTTGTCTTAATATTGCACCTCTTTCCTATCTTGGCGGATAATATCCTTTTCCCAGCTTCACGTCCACGTCTTCCTCGCGTCTTGCTCGCCCCAACTTTTGCCCAGCAACAGCAACACAGCAACACAGCAACACAGCAACACCGCCCCAACCTCAATCGCAGCTCCCTCCAGGTATCGCAGCATACTCGTCGAAGCAACAACCCGTCTGCCGTGTGCCCCAACAACTTGGTTAACACATTCCAACCCGTTTTTGGTGCTACGGTCGTTTCCGTTATCACTCGACCGCCCCCCCTCGTTCCTCCCGCCCAAACAATTCTGTCCCTCCTTCGAAACCGACACGGGACACAGTCGTGAAAGGAATTGGCTGCACACGGATCCGATATGACGGCTCCTCCTGCATCAACAAACGGCGTGGCCAATGGCCACCACAATGGCACCTTCCACAGCGACTCTGAACCGGATAGCGTAAGCACCGATACCGGTAGCGACGATGCAGCTAGCTTGGACAGCGCACAAAGCGCCGAGGGCAGCACCACGAACGGCACGGCAACGACAAACGGCAATGGAACGCACAGGGCCAGCAGACCGCGGAGGAAAATGAAGCGCAAGCAATCAAGTCCGATGATGCCGGCTTTCATGGTCTCGGCGCCGGGCAAGGTTATTGTGTTTGGTGAACATGCAGTCGTACACGGCAAGGTGAGTTGGATGGATTGGATATACCTGGGGGGGGAAACAAAAGAGGAGGATTGTGCCAGGGCGACCTCAGGGCTAACATGTCTACGTTTCACAGGCCGCGATAGCTGCCGCCATCTCGCTGCGATCGTACCTCCTCGTCACAACGTTGTCCAAGTCGAAGAGGACAGTAACGCTCAAGTTCCCAGATATCGACTTTGACCACAGCTGGAATATCGACGAGCTGCCATGGTCCGTCTTTCAACAACCATCGAAAAAGAAGTACTACTACTCGCTGGTGACGGAGCTCGACCTTGAGCTTGTGGCTGCCCTCCAGCCCTTCCTGGCCACTGTCTCGCCGGATCAGCCGGCCAACATCCGCAAGGTACACCAGAACTCGGCCGGTTCGTTCCTTTACATGTTCCTATCGTTGGGCTCTCAGTCGTTCCCCGGCTGCCAATACACACTGCGCTCGACGATCCCACTGGGTGCAGGCTTGGGCAGCAGCGCTACGATCGCCGTGTGCATGTCAGCCGCGCTCCTGTTGCAGCTGCGCACGCTGTCGGGCCCGCATCCGGATCAGCCGGCAGACGAGGCGCGTACCCAGATCGAACGCATCAACCGCTGGGCTTATGTCTACGAGATGTTCATCCACGGCAACCCGTCCGGTGTCGACAACACGGTGTCGACGCAAGGGAAAGCCGTCATGTTCCAGCGTACAGACTACGATAAGCCACCATCGGTGCGCCCACTGTGGGATTTCCCTGAGCTACCGCTGCTGTTGGTCGACACGCGCGTGCCCAAATCGACCGCGCACGAGGTGGCCAAGGTCGCAAGGCTTAGGAATACTCACCCAAAACTTGTCGGTAGCATTCTCGATTCCATCGACAAGGTTAGCGAATCGTCAGCCGCGGTGCTGGGCGAGGACGACTTTGACACCACCAGCGAGGCAGACCTCGCCCGTGTTGGCGAGCTGATGACTATCAACCACGGCCTGCTAGTCTCGCTGGGCGTGTCGCATCCTCGCCTAGAGCGAGTGCGGGAACTGGTCGACCACCAAGGGATCGGCTGGACCAAGCTGACGGGCGCGGGTGGCGGTGGCTGCTGCATCACGCTACTGAAGCCAGATGTTGACCGGGCCAAGTTGCAAAAGCTGGAGGGACAGCTGGATGAGGAAGGGTTCCAGAAGTTTGAAACAACGCTGGGTGGAGACGGTGTGGGTGTGCTGTGGCCAGCAGTGCTGAAGAACGGCATGGACGAGGACGACGAGGGCGGGATGGAGATTGATTTGGAGAAGTTCCTCAGCGCCGAGGGCAATGAGGGTGTGGAGAGGTTGGTGGGTGTGCATGGGGGAGGGGGTGAGAGAGAAGGTTGGAATTTCTGGAGGGTTGAGAGTTAGTTGTGGTTGAAGGGGTGCTGCTATGTGCCCCGAAAGAGGAGGGTGTGTTCTCAGGGGGGCTCCGAATGAGGCATTTGCCTGACAAGGGGTGATAATATTAGACGACTTGTTTTCCGAGGATATTGTGTTTGGACTTTTGGGAGTTCCGAGGGTGGGCGAAATGCGTGGCTTGTTTGTCTTTTTTTTGGATCTTCAACAGAGGGGAAGCGATTGTTTGCCGTCCATTTTTTTACGCGGCAGCAGCGGAAAAGGGGAAGAGGATGGATGGATGGATGGATGATAGGGTGTTGGCCCCGTGGCTTTTGCTCTTTTTGTTTTCCTTCTCTCTCTCTTGTCCTCCTTTGCTTCTTCTCTTCTCTGTATCTAACTCTAGACCGTTTTGACCTTGCGGTACTTACTCCTCCTTTCTACCATGTTTACTGGGGACGTATTTTGTACAAAACTCCCTTACTTACATGATGTAATTAGCCCGCAGATAGTGCACAATTTATACAGAGAACGCAGGACGCAAACAAATATTCACCTGAAGTCTGGGGCTTAAAACAATGTGGAACTTGAGCTATGTGGGTGTCGGACTTGAGCTGTATGTGATGCAGGTAATGGGACACAAACGAGATGTAGCACGTCACAAAGGTAGGTAGGTCCCATCCTCCCTTCCTCCAGCTCTCCTCTTCTTAGTATTGTGTTGAGTCCTTGTGTGACCTTGTCTTACGATTGTTCCTTGCAGCGGCATTCGCATTGATACCTTCTCTCCCTCAGACTTCATGCAGCCTTTCTCTACGTAGGTCTCCAATTTTCCCCACCTGTTTTGCCCACTCCCTTGCCCCGCTTCCTTGCAGAATCAACTGCGGGCAGTTCCCGTCCCCCAAGCTTGACATGCAGCGGCCGAGGAGCGAGCTTTCTCGGGCAGCTTTTTAAGCAGCTCGAAGTGGTGCTCTGCATTTTTAGCTAGGAAGCGGAATGATCAGCGGGGTTTTCTAAGGCGAAAATTGCCCCGCCATCTGCTTGGTGCGTCCGACCCCCACCCCACCTACCATTGTCGATTTGTAGAGGTTGTCTCACTGTGCCGGCACCTACCTACCTAGTCACGACTGCTAAAGCAGCCGAAGGTGAGTCCCTCGTCGTTTTATTTGTCTGGTGTTTAGTGGTTTAAGGGATTTGAAATACGTTTTCCATCCCTTGCAGATTCTTGGACTCCACTGAAAGAGACGGACGGGCCGGGCGTGGAGACCTGCAGTTGCCTGCCCGTGAGGTGCATGCTTGGATACAAGTCAAGTTGAGTCGGTATTTGGTATGTACATACCTATGTATTGATTACAGGACTCGCTGACCCCTCACTCACCCAGCTCGTGCACAGAGATTCAAACAACTTACCGTCAACCCCGACTCCAACTCAAATTTAAACGCAAGCCGCCATCACCCACCACATCTTGGACACCATTACTACATACCACCACCACCGGTCAAACCAGTCACAACCGCACTCTCGCCCACTACTACACCGCCCGTCCTTACGAGGCTGTCTTCTAGGGCCAACGCTACAAGGGCTCACTTTCTACCGTTACTTACAGCGTCTGAACGAGCTTGGGGTGTCGTCACAGGCTGTTTCTTCGCTGAAGACGGACGGACAGTGTCAGAAAGGAGCAGGAGCGGGAGAGTCGCAGCTGAGTGCGAAACTAGTACCAGGCACAGTAGGGGCGAAAACGCGATCTCAAGCTGTCTGATACTGGACAGCCGTCTGTTTTCGGGCCCGGCGTGTGCTCGCGACAAGCTAGGGGGCTCTGTCTGGCCAGGTTCTGGTGATAAACAGCAGGACGTGTTTGAGGAGGGATGGCTGCTGAGCTGAAGAAGGAATTGTATGGCGGGGGTGTCGGGGGTGAAGACGGGAAGCTGTCGACTGATCCGGAGTGGGCTGATGTTGAGCCTGTTGTGCTTCAGGAGCCGGAGGGGGCGCTGGCGGCGATTGCGTATCCGGATGATTATGCTGAGGGTGAGTTTCTCCCCCTTTTTTCTCGGTCATACTATCTCTATCTCCTTGAAAGGTAAGGGGAAGTAAGGGCAAGAGAGGGATTGCTGACAGTTACTCCAGCCATGGCCTACCTCCGCGCGGTGATGCAAGCCAAAGAGCACTCCCCACGCTGTCTGCGCCTAACCGAGCACATCATCGAGATGAACCCGGCGCACTACACAGTCTGGCTATACCGCGCAGCCAACGTCTTCGCCCTCAACCTCCCCATCCTCGACGAAATCACCTGGCTCAACGAAGTCGCCCTGCAAAACCTCAAAAACTACCAAATCTGGCACCACCGCCACCTCCTCGTCGAGAACTACCACCCCCTCATCGCCTCCGACCCCGCCGCCATCTCCGCCTTCGCCGCCTCCGAGCGCGCCTTCATCGCCCAGATGCTGTCCGAGGACACCAAGAACTACCACGTCTGGTCCTACCGCTCCTACGTAGTCTCCAAACTGGGGCTCTTCGACGACGCCGACGAGCTGGCGGCCATCGAAGGGTTGATCGACAAGGACGTGCGCAACAACTCGGCCTGGTCCCACCGGTTTTTCCTCGTCTTCTCTAACCCGGCCTATGCCACGCCCGGCGCGGCCGCTACGGCGTATGATGCCGGCGTGCCTGCGGAGGTGGTCGATCGGGAGATTGAGTATGTGACGGGGAAGATCCGGCTGGCGCCGCAGAATCAGAGCGGGTGGAATTACTTGCGGGGTGTGATGGTGAAGGGCGGGAGGAAGTTGGCGAGTGTGGAAGGGTTTGTGAGTGAGTTTGTGATTCGGCTGGGGGAGGAAAGGAGTGAGGGGGGTAAGGAGGGAGAAGGAGAAGAAGGAGAAGGGGAGGATGTGTTGAGCACGCATGCGCTGGATTTGCTGGCGGAGATTTATGCGGAGAAGGGGGAGAAGGAGAAGGCGGATTTGAGTTTGAGGCGGTTGGGGCAGAAGTGGGATCGGATTCGGGTTGGGTATTGGGAGTGGCGGCGGAAGTGCTTGGAGGTGGGCGCGTAGGGGGGGAGAAGAATTGTTCGGGAATAGGATGTTGTACTTGGTTTGCATATGGTGTTTTTATAATTGAGCTTGTTAACTACGTCGTAAGCGGCCAATATGCCCTAGGTAAATGCTCACAAGACAATTCCAGAACAACACATGGCATATAATCACATTTGTTAAGTCTAAATCAAAAGCCAGAGCCATGTTGCCGGTCTCAGATCCCGTGGTATACCTAACGCCTTTCCCAGTCTATTTCCAATCCATGCCATCCACCCCATAATCTGGGCCCTTACGCCCTTGTCTTTTTTTTTTATTCCTTTTGCCATTTGGCTCAGCTCCTTTATTGGATTTAATACCCAGAACAAATCCTCCTAATTCGCCCGGTAGTTATGCGAAGAAATGAGATATTTCCTCCCGTACCGCGCCCCCGGCTTCTCCAGCACGTCCCAGTTCGGCACAAGAATGAACCGATCATGAAAACTCTGCTTCTCCCAATAATCCTCCGCCTTGCTCCTTCCCGTCCCAAACAACACTGACCCGGCCACCGTCAACACCATCATCATGCGCACGCCGTCGGTGGGGGCGTTCAGCTCGAGCATTTTGGCTGACGCGCCGAAGCGGTAGTCGGCGTTGATAACGTGCACGTCGAAGCTCTCGACGTCGTAGCGCACGCGTCGCTTGTTGGGGTCGGGCTGTTTGGGCGCTTCGCGCTGTTGGTCGAGGAGTTTGTCCCATTCTTGTGGGGTCGCGACCACGAGGCCGTTGATGCAGATGTCGGCCGGCGCGTGGCCGGCGTTGGTGTAGGCGGCGTGGCCGTTGATGTAGCCGTGCGAAACGGGCTTGGCGTCGTTGAGTTGGCGGTAGTACCAGTCGATGAAGTTTTTCGCAGCTGGTGAGGAGGGGAGGGTGTTAGTGAGGTGTGTCTGTGAAGTGAGGGAGGGTCTGTCTGGCACTGTATGATGGAGTTGAACGGGGTCGGTGGGTATTATCTTACCTTCGCTAGAGCAGCGTATGTTTGTCTCGTTGAAGTTGGCAGACATCGTTGCGGTAAATGCCTAGAAGGCTAAAGAACCGGGAAGTCTGGTGGTAAGAATACGTCGTAACTGGCTGTGGTTGGCCGATACACGGACACTCCGTGGTGTCTTTGTTGCTTGGTTGGAGGGACAGACTGGAGAGTCAGTCGCGAATGTATGTTCAGTGGTGGTGGTGGTATGGACAGATTCAAAAGTGTGGGTGGAACTTATTGGAGATTTGTAATGCGAGTAAAACAATCAGGTTCCGGTTGAACAAGACGGGGGAGATGGCGGTCTTTAAATACAAGGCTGAAGAGCGAAAGGTTCTTTGGAAGCTAAGAACCTAATCCAACTGCGTGATGCTGCCGCCGCGAAGCGCCCCACTTTCATGCAGTTGGTGGGGCACCTAACTAGTGGGGTGTATGTAGAATCCAACACGGACAGCACCAGAACCCACCAAAACACCAAAAATATACAAGGAAAAGCCAAAAACATACAACACCGGGGATTCCCCAGTCGTCACCGACCTGAGTACTAGTCCGGCGGTCAGTAGTTTATCTAGGGGAGAGCGGACGGGATCCCGAGCTTTCTACTGCCTATGGTCGTATGTGATAGCCAAGTGTCTAGGTGGAAGCTTATGTATTGCACGACGGGAGGATTCTACGGCGGCATTCATGATATCTACTAGCTCTCAAACTGACCATAGAACTATGGTATTGTCGTAAAAGACAATCGTCAATTGCGGCGGCAAATAGGACCCTCTTATGCTGTGGCCAAAAAAAGCGGCAGACCAAAACCCTGGATACCTAACTTACTTTTCTACAAAAGTGAAAAAAGATCAAAAAGAATAAACCAAAAACAGTGAAAGAAGACAAAAAAGAATAAATCTAGAAAGTGAAAAAAGGCCAAAAAGAGTAAATCGATCAAAATTTACCAAGATTTGATCGAATGTTATTGGATTGGACTTGAGCTATCTGTCTGAGTGTGCCGCCTCCTGTGGCCGAGATCCCGAGATAACCTAAGAGCTGCTCCCACAACCCATCCTAATTCTCTCTAGTTCCGAGAGAATTTAGACCTAATACTCCCAACCCTCATATCCATTGCCGAAACCTTCCGCCCTAGTGTGTTGACACGATCGCGGAAGCTAACCTTGGTTTTGTCCTTGGAAACCTCGGAGGAAGGCTCAGTTCCACTCGGAGGGATGAAGAGCTTCGCCAGGGGAGATTTTACCTTCTAGGTAGAACCACTGCCGCCGGACACGGGAGGAGAGGTTGACTTCTCGACCTCGCCCCAGTCACCCGCGTTGTCTTCGTCCGTACCAACCAACTTCCCCTTGTTGTGGCGCTGGTACTCCTCTATTATGGCGTTTTGTTTGGCGGCCACGCCTTCATGGTACCCAAGCTCATCTGGGTCCTCGTTGGGGTCGTAGTAGCGCTCGTAGTCGTCCTTCACCTCAGCCGCTCCACAGATGGCGCTGATGCGCAGCAGATTCCACTGCAATTCGAGAAGTTCCCAGCTTGGCATTTCGGCGTGTTGTCGGAATAGGAATGTTTGGCCGTTCCGGATCTTCACACCACTCTCCCGGTGTGCTAATTCCTGGCCCCAGTTCAGATCCACTAACCCAGCCTGTAGCAAGATGTCCTCATGGGAATGAATCTTGAAACGAGGCAACAAGGGACTCTTCTTCAACCAGTGCCATTTGACCGTGATGCCTTCTTGTGTTTTGCGGAGCGGCTCGAGAGCGAATACTGCTCTGTTAAACCAGAAGTGCAATTGTCGATTCAGTGAAATTCCGTTTTTCGCTGAGTTGGCGATGCTTGCTTGCTCGTACATTCTGCGCCATGCCATCTCTTTTTCATGACTCCAGAATACCGAGACCATGTCGTTCAGGCTGCCTAAGTTTTTGTTCTTGGATGCCGAGAATGGGAATATATGCGCAGCCTCGGGATCAGAGGTGCCGGAAAATAAGCAAACGTGCCCATCCCGTGTCTTCACGCGCTCGGCAAAACCGCTTCCCGTGACCGTTGTTTGGGCGACAGGCATGCCTGGCTCATTCAGGTTGGCTGCAGGTATCGTGAGAGGAGTCGTCGTCCCGGTACCGGGGGTGGGATCAGGCCGGTGAGAAAGATCTGGGCCACAATCAATACAAGTCCGTGTGGATTATCGCAAGATTTGAGGGGATTCACGTACAAACTCCGAGTGCACCTGGGACCTCTCTATCGAGGTCCCGACACACGAATTTTGCGTTCGGGGGGTACTGGTTGATCCTCTCCAGACAATCACGAAGATCGCCTACGGGGGCGACCATGAACACCGCCAGTATCACCGCAGGCGGATCGCCCTGCCGCAGTGTGCGATATCGATCAAAGAGCGCCCGTCTGACCTCCGTGTCGGTGATATAATCTACCACGGGTTCGTGAGGTGGGGGGTTGTCGTCCAGGAATTGGACGAGACCCTCGCGATCGTAGTGGGCAGCCGTAATCAGCTTTGCGATATGCTGGGAACCAAGCCCCGAATCTGCCATGAATTGCTGCATTATTGAGGTTCGTAGATGATTTGTTGTTGGGATCGGGTTACGGCAGGTGATGCCTTATTTGTCGAGATCGCGGTTATTTGCTCGAAGAGTATAAGGCAAAAAAAAGAGGTATGTACTGTAATGTGCACCCACCATAACCACCTAAAGTGTAGACGGGAGGGAAGGAAGGACCCCATGGGGTAATGCTGTAATTATGACCTAGGTAACCTTGACGCGTCAGAGTATACAACTGCAGATGCCGCCCAGATTTAGAAAAGTTTCCGTCAAATTTAGTCCGCAAAATTCAAGTCCGCCTCTAACCACCCACGAGCGTATCGACGAATCCTGAATTTGGACGCCCGTGCCGCCGGTTACCTCTTTGTTCTGGAGCTTCCCACGTTTCTTTCAACAGCGAGCTCCTAGCCAGCACGATACCCCACGGGATTGCCCACAAAACGGTCGGGCGACGACAATTACGACTGGGGTTACTTACTGATGGTCCTGGATGCGCATCGCCAACGCTGAGTTAGGCGCTGGGCATGGCCTCCAAGCAAGTCCGTTAGGTCTGGTCGCTTGGCCCGGCTCTGTGGTTTGCCTCGAACCTTTTGAGGGTGGCCGAGTTTAGAGAGGGGTTGGCGCCAACCGTCCCGCCATGTCATCTCCCCTTCTTTGACTGTTTGTCTCGACCGGCAAGGCGGCGGCAGGCAAAGCTTTGGATGAAAATGAGGCGGGAGGCAGCCAGGGCACATGAAATGAGTTGGCTATAAAGTCCCCGCCTGGGACTAACATTGGCCTCTTCGTCGGCTTGTCCGTCTTTCATCTTTCGTCCCTGTTGTGCGTGCTCTTCCGAAAACTCAGCGATCTGTACCAACACATCGACTAAACGTACGTATCGAGCCACCCAAGCGTCACTCCCCGCAACAAAAAAATGTGATTTTTTATGACTTGGTACTATAGCTGCGGGTGCGAGGTCCCGGAGACATGGGGAGTACGCTGCGGGGCGCCGTGTTGCCCTGGGCTTAAACGGGAAGTCGGGAATTACATACTCCCTGGGTCTTGTGGTGATCCGGATTGCCGGGGGCGGCAACAGCAAGCGTCCTCTGAGCTTAAACGTATAGTCGAGAAACCGCTCTTCGAACTCAATGACGATCCCGGCCACTCGGAGCAGCAGCTGGAACCGTCCCCAGGGCATGTACAAAAAGTTGAAAGACCTCTCTCTCAGCCGCGTGGCGATCTCGAAGGCCCCCAGCAACAGCTAGAACCGCCCCGCGAGCCGAAACACGTAGCCGAGAAACCACTCTGTGAGTCCTGCGGCAATCCTGATTGCCCGATGAAGCAGCTGGAATAGTTCCTTCGGCTTAGGCAGGAAGTCAAAAGATTGTCTTCTCAGCCCGGTGGCAATCTCGATTGTCCAGAGCGGCACCCAGAACGGTCCCCTGCGCCTGAGAACGTAGTCGAGAAACCACTATCTCAGGCCTGTGGTGCTCCCGATTGCCCGGAGCAGAAGCAGCTCGAACGGTCCCCTGAGCCTGAACAGGCAGTTGAGAAACCACTCTCTCAGCCCTGTGGCATTCCCGATCGCTAGGAGCAGCAGCGGAAACGGTTCCTGATGCGGTGGCTAGGAGCCTTCAAGTCAACTGTCAGGAAACATTAGTCGTAGGGCCGCGCGGTCATCTCCAAGGACTCGAGAATCGAGAGTATGTAGCCTGACACTCGGTCGGGCGGAATATACTGGTTATTTCTGCCTGGAAACCCCTGGATCCCGTCGGTCAGCGAACGTAGAATGGACAGCGCAAGACAACCAACCCGTCGGGCATATCAACAATTTCATGATTATCTTCATACGAATAGTCCCCACCCTCAACCCAGCCCCCTTTCCATGCACCCATCCCTTCATTCCTTAACCAAAAACTCCTCAATATCCTTATCCTCCTCCTCCTCCCGACTCTCCCTCAACCTCTGCTCCTCCGCATCCAACAGCTTCTTCATCACCGCCCGCTGCCGCCGACGCGCCTTCTTGCCCCAGTCCGGTCCGGACGCGCCCGCTTTCCCACTCTCGTCGTCCTCGTCGTCCGTGTCGTCGGGGATGTCGACTTTGCCACGGAGCTCGTTGGCTGAGATCTGCGCTTGTTTTTCTTTTTCGGCGGCTTCTTCTTTTTCGTGCGATTGCATCTGGGCGCGCATGCCTAGTTTGACGAGGTAAGGGCGGAGGAGGAGGTCTGGAGATGGGTGGGTGTGGGTGTTAGTAGATTTCTTTGGAGTGGGCTGTCGTTAGGGGGAAGGGTAGGCTGGAAGAAGGGAAAGACTGACAGGCGCCGGCGATGATGACGAGACGGATGATTTGCTCCGGGGTCATGCTGGTGAAGGAGCCTTTGAGGTTTGTGGCGAAGCGGTTGCCTACTGTTGAGGCGAGGTCGGCGAGGTTGTCCATGATGCTTTTCGGGAGCTCGTCGGTAGAAGAAGGTATGGGATTATTTCCGCACAATGCCGAAGTTTTCACTATTACTGATTGCGATGTCGTAGGAATAGGTCAAGAAATTATATACGACAGACGTGAGATTGCTGGAAAGAAAGTTGAGATGAAAGTGGTGGAAGTTTGCATTTCTAAGGTTGCGCGAAAATCTCCAAACAATTGCCGCTCGGTAGCTGACGTGCAGCCAAGGCCCCACTGCCGCCGGCATCTCCGGTCAAGCATGAGGTACTTTGCACGCAGCAAAGCTTGGAGCTGAACCACCCACACTCGTGTCCGGGAAATAGCATGGCGAGTCAATGTTTCCATATACCGTTTATGATACTCTAGTTATAGAATTAAGGCTGCAAGCCCGCAGTAGTACATGCCCATTTCACGATCAACATCTGCAAGTCTCTTGAATGCTACTTCGGCTCATCCCGCGCTCAAGAAAATTCGACAGGGGTCTAACTTGTCAATTGAACCTAACCAGACCAAGACTAGCGCATTTTATCATCCCCACTTTGCTGCAACCCCCAAACGCGAGAACACAGGACCACGCGTCTCACTGACAAAACCGCCGCTCCAGCGTTATCGCCAAACGCCAAGACTTTCCACAGTATCAGACTAGATGGCTGACCTTTCAGAAGAGGAGGTGCGAGAGGTAGGATGGTTACTTACTCCTCCCTATCTATAACCCCGATTTCGTCGTCCAATCAGTCCATTACTCCCTCCTTATTCACAAGTAAAGTACCTTATATATACCTATGCAATGCTAACAACCCCAGCGCCTCAAAGCAGCCCTCTGGTTCTCCATCGGCAAAATGGTCGACCAAGAATCCCTCCAGCGCAACCGCAACGCCACGCCGCAGTTCATCGGCGCTTTGACTGATATGGTCTGGCATCAGATTGGTAGGTTCCTCCCTTTCCCCCTCTCACACTTTACCTTGCACTCGGTTGTGTGCGTGTATATTTTTCGTATCATCGTGTGTTGTATCTGTTGTCCCGGTTCTTAGTTCTTTCGAGCACTCACACCCGGCAACAGAAAATGTCGCAACAGACCTAGAGAGTTTCAGCCAGCATGCGGGCCGCACAACGGTCACGACAGATGATGTGCTGCTGCTGGCGCGGCGGAACCAGGATTTGTACACGGTGATTAAGGATGGGATTGATAGGGAGAAGGCGGCGAAGGGGAAGGGGAAGGGGGTGCGGCGGGGGTGAGTTGCCGGTTTAGGGACATGACGGCGCAATCATAAACGACGTGATGACTTTTAACGTTGTTATTTGGGAATTTACTTTTATTTTTGGAAGGGTATCCTGTGACGCTGGGTTCGGAAAACAAAACAAGCTTTGCTGATGTGGTATCCATGATGTGGTGTGTACACGACACTAACCAATACTTCCGACGCCTAATTCCCCCCCTCAGCAGCAGCCAACGCGGCCGCCTCTTCTCTCCGCTCGGCCACAATAATATTCACCGCCTCCTCCACCTCCCTCACCATCCATTCCTCCTCCGTATACCGCCACCGATTCGCGACCAACATGATCGCCGCCCACGACTCGGCCTGCAACACCCCCAGCAACAGCTCCAGCCCCAGTAGATTCACCAGGCCCCGAGCCGATTGCATGCCAAACCAGAACCCGGCGCCTGTGTTGACGATGTCTAGACTCATGCCCATGCGGCGCATGTACGAACGGGCGAGGAACACGTGCACGGCCACGGTCATGGGCATAGCCATGAGGCGGGCCGGGGTGAGAGCGAGGATGTTGGCCGCGAGACGCGCGGGGAGCGCGGTGAAGGCGTTTTCGCGGTAGACGGACTCGTGCCGGTTGTTGATGCTGCCGGTGCCGGTGCTACCGGCTGCGGCAGCTGCGGAGGCTGCTCCTGCGTCGTCGTCGTCACCGCCGGTACCGTCTACGCCGTAGGTGGCGCCTTCACCGCCGCTGCCGTCGGCGGGGAACCCGTAGCCCGACGAGCGGGAGTTGTCGGGGATGTTGGGGCGGAGCTCGGCGGACCAGATTCCTGGTGTTGTGTCACCGCCTACAGCACCGTTGGGGGCGGTTGAGCCACCGGGGCCTGATGCGCCCGGAGTTGTGGGGTCAGCAGCCTCGACGTCAAAACTAATGAGCGTGGCGCTGATGATCTCCGTTTCCTCGTCGTCCGAGCCAAATTCGTCTACACTACCGCCACCACCACTACCACTAGGTTGAGGCGGTTGCTGAGAGGATAACTGGTCTTGGGACTGGCTTTGCCGGCGACGGTGAGACTGGTCGGCGGCGGTGGTGGTCGTGGCTGTCGTGACATCGTTGTTGATGCCGCTGCCACGGAGCGACACGGTGCTCTGGCGGCGAAGAGGCGGGGGTCCCGTGGGAGAGGTAGAGACGCCTTCGTCTGCGCGCGGGTCGGCAGGACTGTTCGGGGTCCCGAGACGGAGGCCGGCCCAGGTCTGTCGTCGCAGAAAGGAGTTGTCCGGGCGGGGCAGGTGCTTGTAGATGGCATCGCGCAAGTTCTTCGCCAGGTTGGCGTGGACGCGGCTGGAGAGGTAGAAGCAGAGGAAGGGGGCTGTCCCGAGGGCACAAGCACCGAGCCACGGCAGCAGGCTTCCTGGGCGGAAAGAGGCGGGAGGTGGTGGGAGAGATATAGGGGATAGGCTGGATCCGGGGATGAAGAAGCGCCAGTTGGGCAGCCAGTGATTGAACGGGATGATCTCGATCCTCTGGAAGAAGACATATATTGCCAGATGGATGCGGATATAGGTCATGGCAGACCAGAACCTGTCCCGAAAAAATGAGCAAAAAATTCGGAGAGTAAAAATACAAGGACGAGAGTTCATACCAGTTGTCTTCCTTCCTAGAAAACGACACCAGCTCAAGCGAGGTAGCGGCCAAGAACGACGGGAAGCCTGCGAGAAAGTACGGCGCAAAGGAGCCCGAGCGACGAGCCATCCTAAACATGCCATAAAAGGTAGTTTGCGAGTACGGTTGGTAGACCCACAGACGTTGCCTGATGCCGTGGACAGCCCAGTTCGACGCCGAAGCAATCTGAAAGGCAGCCAAGTGCAGGCGCGAGCCGATCACGTCCTCGAAGCGGTTTTGACGATGGGTGGCGTCCATCTGGGCGTCGGCCGCGGTGCCGCTCTCGGGCTCGGCTACGCCGATCACCATCATGACCTCGTTGTGCGAGCGGATGAAGTCGCGATTGAGGCCCTTGATGACTGGGTTGTAAAGCCGGCCGCGGTCGTCAAAGTAGGCATATTGGTTGGGCGGGTAGTCGTTGCCCTGGCCGGGGACGGTGTCATCGTACGGGGAGCGGCCCTAGCCGGAGGGGAAGGGTCAGAAAGTTGATGAAAAATCGAGTGGAATGAAAACCTCATGAAATGAATTGCTTACCAGGCCCTGCGAGGTGAGCGGCCCCAGTCGCCCCATGGTTTCTAGGTGTTGTTAAGCGGCTGAGGGCGAATTTGCGATTCTCAGAAAAGTCGAGATGAGCAGCAAGTTTGAGTGATACCGTGCCGAAGCGCCATTTCGGGGTCTCAAAGTCGCGGCTTTATGTCGTCGCGGGTCCTTTCGTCATACGCCGTTTGTTGAGTTGTCCATATGTTTGATGAGATGATGGAAAGCGGCCTGGACATTTGCAGCGACCCAGTGACAGTGAACCAGTGAACGCAACAGCAGGGTTGCAGGGGTAGTGGCGCTAAGATAACCTTATTTCCCCCCGCCAACTCCCTTATCGGCAGCATCAGCCAAAAAGTTTTGGGAAGTCCCGAGGTTGGCTTCTGCAATTGAACAACTTTCCGTCTTGGAACGCTCGCCCACCTACACGCCTCAGCATGGCAACACGGCAAACGGCCAAGACGACCTTCGAGGTCGACAATGTCATCCAGCCCATCTTCACAGGCGGATCCGTGGCCCTCGAGAATGGCGCGCGCATCCTGGCCTCAACGCTAGGCGAATCCGCTGTCTTGACCGAGCTGACGACGGGGAAGCGCCTTGCCGAGATCGAGGGTGACGGCGAGCCCATCTCGACCCTCACGATCACCCCGGCGGCGTCGCATCTGATTGTCTGCTCGCGGTCGCTGACGATGCGCATCTATGCCCTCAAAGTCGCGCCGGACTTCGAGTCTGTCGAGGCCACTCTCGTGCGAACCTCGAAACCCCACGCCACGCCCGTCGTCGTCCTCGCTGTCGACCGAACTAGCACACTACTCGCTACGGGCGCGGCAGATGGTGCGATCAAGATCTGGGATATTGTTGGGGGATACGTCACCCACACCGTCAGCGGCCAGAGCGTGCTGGTCTCGGCGCTGCACTTCTTCGAGATTGCCGCTACCGCGGCCGACGGCTCGTCGTCAGACCGCAGGTCAAAAAAGGGGTCACGCAAGAGCAATAGCAACAACCAGGACGATTCAAATCAAAACGGCGACGTGGCCTCCCGCTTCCGCCTCGCCTGGGGCACGCAAGACGGCCGGATCCGCATCTTCGATCTGCAGAAACGCACGACCGTGCCCGTCTACGCCGACACGAAGCGCAAGAAAGAGGCCCACGAGTCTAACGTCCAGAGCATCGAGTACTGCCCCGAACAGCACGCCCTGCTGAGCGGCAGCCGAGACAAGACCATGACCCTGTGGCTCTGGCGCGACGGTGGCTGGCAGGGGACCCCCATGCTCCGCCACGAGCTGGTCGAGTCGGTTGGGTTTCTGCGTGAGGGCCGATGGATGTACTCGGCCGGGAGCAGCGGGCTGCTGCGGATCTGGGATACGACGACTCACCATGAGATTACTGCGAAACAAGACGCCAAGTCGGAGGCGGAAGCGATTTTGTCGGCTGTCTCGTTGCCTGGCAAGTCGCTTGTGCTTTGCGCCCAATCTGATTTCACCCTCGCCATGTACCGTGTGCCGTCCCCGTCTGAGATCACATCGAGTGAGGGGCTGCCTATGGAGCCGTTCCGGCGGATTTCAGGCACTCACGACGAGATTTTAGACTTTGCTTATGTGTTGCCCGACCAATCCCTCATGGCGCTGGCCACAAACTCGGAGGATATCCGGCTTGTGTCTGTGGCTGATACAGGGGCGGAACCAAGTGGCGAGAAGGCAGAAGGGCAAGAGCGAGAGGAAGGGGAAGGTGTTGGGTATTTCGGGCATGATGTTGCGTTGCTACGAGGCCACGAGGACATCGTCATGTCCCTCGATGTGGACTGGTCGGGCCATTGGGTGGCCAGCGGCGCAAAGGACAACACAGTACGCCTGTGGCGCGTCGACCGGGCGAACAACTCGTACACCTGCTATGCCGTCTTCACCGGCCATCTGGAGTCTGTCGGCGCGGTCGCTCTCCCCAAGGTGGTACCCCCCGAGGGCTCCGAGGCTTTCACCAACCCGCTCGACCACCCGCCAGCCTTCCTCGTCTCCGGCTCGCAGGATCGGTTCGTGCAGAAACGGGATATTCCACGCCAGTCGCAACAGTCCAAGGTGTCGGCAAGCTTGAAAAGGTTAGCGCATGAAAAGGATATCAACGCGTTAGATGTTAGCCCGACCGGGCGGCTGTTCGCATCGGCGTCGCAAGACAAGACGGTCAAGATCTGGGACGTTGAGCGGCTCGAGGTCCAGGGTATCCTCAAGGGCCACAAGCGAGGTGTTTGGACAGTTCGGTTTGCCCCTCTCCACACGCCCGCAATCCAGGGTGAGCAAGGGTCTGGATCCGTGTCCGGCAAGGGCGTCATCTTGACTGGAAGTGGTGACAAGACGATCAAGCTCTGGAATCTCTCCGACTACACCTGCCTGCGGACCTTCGAGGGCCACTCCCACAACGTGCTCAAGGTCGTCTGGCTACACATCCCGACCGACGAGTCGTCATCCAAGAAGCGAATCCAGTTCGCAAGCGCAGGCGCTGATAGCCTGGTGAAAGTCTGGGACGCCAACCTAGGCGAGACCGAGTGCACGCTCGACAACCACGAAGACCGACTCTGGACCCTGGCCGTGCACCCCAAAACCAACACCCTCGTCTCCGGCGGCAGCGACTCCAAAGTCACCTTCTGGAAAGACACCACCACCGAAACCCAAGCCGCCGCCACCACCGCCGCCCTCAAACTCGTCGAGCAAGAACAAGAACTCCAAAACTACATGCACGTCGGCGCCTACCGCGACGCCATCGTCCTCGCCCTCCAACTCAACCACCCAGGCCGCCTCCTCAACCTCTTCACCAGCGTCGTGACCACCACCAACCCCGAACCCGACAGCCTCACGGGCGTGCGCGCCGTCGACGACGTCCTCGCCTCACTCTCCGACGAGCAGCTCTTCATCCTGCTTTTACGTCTCCGCGACTGGAACACCAACGCGCGCACGGCGCCTGTCGCGCAGCGCGTGCTGTCGGCCCTGGTGCGCAGTTATCCGGCCGGGAAGTTCTCGACCTTGTCGGTCAAGGGGGCGCGCGGGCAGAAGAGTTTGGCAGAGGTGTTGAATGCGTTGAGGGTGTATACCGAGAGGCATTATAAGCGGGTGGAGGAACTGGTGGATGAGAGTTATTTGGTGGAGTATACGTTGCAGGAGATGGATGCATTGGCACCCTCAAATGTTGCAGGGTTGGTTATGGAGGATGGGGAGGATGCGGTTATGGCTGGGGCGTGAGACTTGGGTGCGTTGTTTAAGAAGAGAATAGAGTGATGGAGGTGTAAGTGGGAAGTGAAATGGGGTTAGGGTTGTATATGGTTCAAGGGAAGATGTTAATACGGCGTTATATGGTGGGAGTTATTAAAAAGTTGAAACCTGTTACGTACAAACCCCCAATTCTGTGTTGAGCTCCTCAGCGTCGTAACCTATTTTTGACTTTTAAGCGATTAAAGAGTCTCATGGATTCATCCTAACTTTCAAGAGTGCTCTGTATGTATATACACATACACGGCTCGGCGCTGCTGTGTGCCAAGCTTTCCAGGCAGAGCTCGAGTGGGGCATTCAATTGGCAGCGCACCTTCGGGCCTGTTCGCAGCGACTTCAAGAAATTCCAACATCAACAACCTCGACTCGACCACCACATCGGCCCCAGCGACCCCCCGGGATTCCACGAACTGCGTCCTAGTCGAACAATACGTGATTTATCTGCGTGAGGATCACGGAAATGTCTAAACGCCAGGCCTCCGAGGCCCTCGAGGACCTGTCGGGCGACTCGCCCGCTTCCAAAAGGTCGAGATTCGACGACTACAACAAGAGCCTGACTCCCGGGAGCGTATCGACGGAGAATGGAGAGGGGGAGACGACGATATTAGCTCTGCGTAATGGGACGGCGAGGAATCACGAGGGCGAGGAACAGGAGGAGGAAGACGACGACGACGACGTACCCGAAGAAAAAGCCCCCATCCGACAGTCCGCGCCAACAGCCGGCTACGACGACCTCTACCTCGACACCATCGACCGCAACGTGCTTGATTTCGACTTCGAAAAACTCTGCTCCATCACCCTCTCCAACATCAACGTCTACGCCTGCCTAGTCTGCGGCCGCTACTTCCAGGGCCGCGGGCCGAAATCGCACGCCTACTTCCATGCCCTCGACGAGGATCACCACGTGTTCATCAACATGGGTACGCAAAAGGTTTATGTGTTGCCAGAAGGGTACGAGGTGAAGAGCAAGTCGCTGGACGATATCAAGTACGTCTCCGACCCGCGCTACACCCGCCAGGAGGTGGCCCAGCTCGACCGCAAGCCGCACGTGTCCTGGACGCTGGGGGGCAAGGAGTACACGCCCGGGTTCGTGGGGATGAACAACATTAAGGAGAACGACTACCTGAACGTGGTGGTGCAGGCGCTCTCCCACGTCACGCCGCTGCGCAACTTCTTCCTGCTCGAGGATTTCAGCACAGCTCCGGAATTGGTCAAGCGCACCTCCATCCTCTTCCGCAAGATCTGGAACCCGCGCGCGTTTAAGTCGCACGTATCCCCGCACGAGCTCCTCCAAGAAATCTCTCTGCGCTCCAACAAACGCTTCACACTCACCGCCCAATCCGACCCTGTTGAATTCCTCTCCTGGTTCCTCAACCACCTCCACCTGGGCCTCGGCGGCTCCAAAACCAAACCCGGCTCCTCCGCCATCCAGCGCATCTTCCAAGGCAAACTCCAAGTCGAAGCCCAATCCATCACCGCCCGCGGCGACGGCCTCTCCGACCGCCTCCGCTTCGAAGAAGCCGCCCACGTCGACACCACCTCCGCCCGATTCCTCTTCCTCACCCTCGACCTGCCCCCGGCCCCTCTTTTCCAAGACGAACAAGAGCGCAACATCATCCCCCAAGTACCCCTCACCGCCCTCTTGGCCAAATACAACGGCGCGACAGCGCAGGAACTCAACGCCCAGCGCCGACGGTACCGCCTGGTCCACCCCCTCCCGCCTTTCCTCCTCCTGCACGTCAAGCGCTTCAGCCAGAATAAGTTCGTCTCCGAGCGCAACCCGACCATCGTCACCTTTGACGCGCGCACGGGTCTGGACGTAGCGCCCTACGTCGAACCACCATCACCACGCACCATAGACGATGAATCAGAAGAGGACGAACCGATCTGGTACGACCTCGTCGCCAACGTGGTGCACGAAGCTGTGCGGGTGCGGGAAGACGTGGCCGATAGTGCGGTGGGCGAGGAGCGCAAGACGTGGAAGGTGCAGTTGCGGGATAAGGCGACGGATGAGTGGGTGGTGGCGCAGGATTTGTTTGTGGATAAGATTCGGAGTGAGTTGTTGTATTTGGGGGAGAGTTATTTGCAGGTTTGGGAGAGGAGGAGGACGACGCCGGGGAAGGGAAAAGGGAAGGCTTAGGGAGGAGATGGGGGGTGAAAATAGAAAAAGCGGAGGGGAGGGGAAAAGATACCACGGTAAATGGGAGATATCAGATCATTCTGAATATGATATCAAAGAGCGCTACTCGATGGGGTTGTCAACCCTTGTTGTTATACCGTAAATCAAGAACTACACCATCCTCATGTGAACCATCGTGTCAACCACAACCGCACCAACCAACGGGCAAGACACAGACGGGCAAGACAAGAATGGGCAAGACAAAGTCATTTCGTAGGTTAGTTACAATAAGTACAACTACAAGCCCGCCTCCAACCAACCAACCAACCACCTTACAGTAGCCAGTCCATGAATTCCCCAGTCCAGCCCACCCAGTCACCCGAACCCCCTTCCGTTTCATGCATACATTGACATTTCCTCATTCCTTATGTCCGGCATTCGCTCATAAAAACCTACAATCCGGTCCCTGCTGTCCCCACTGTTCGCTTTCCTTTAAACCCCGGGTTGCAAATGCTTTGTCGCTTTTTCTCGCATTTTCCATTTTTTTCTTTCCCCGTTCTCTTCCCGATTCCCATATTCACAAGGGAAAAACGAAAGGAAGATCGGAGTCAAAATCGAAGCTGAAAGTGGAAATCGAGCTTTGAGAAACCGAACCTCCATGGCCGAACGGTGATATCAAATCGAGTTGAGCCAGTTGGGGTGGCTCGAGTTGTTGTTGGGGAATCGGTAAACGCCACTTTGCAAACGCTGCTGCTGCTGCTTCTGCTACTACTCCTGCTGGCTGGTTTTGGTTGTTGTACATGTGCATACGGGCAAAACAAAAATAGGGCGGGTACGCTTTGCTCTCATCATTCTCACTCCCCCTCCCTAACCGCTCGCTCTTCGTTGAGCCCGGTATTTATGGGTTGCTGGGGTTAGTCTGCTGCTGCTGCTCGTCGTCATACTGCTGCTGTGACGATTGGTGCTGCTGTTGGTGCTGTTTATTGGACCGTTTGTCGTGGTGATGGCTCGCCTTTTCTCGTCGCGACTCCTCGATGGCGGTGCGCTGCTGGATGCTCGAATCGTGGCTCTTCCACTCGAGCTTGGTATCGGGGGGGAAGGCGAGGACGCGCCGCATCGTTTCACTGGTACTGGTTAGCTTGGATGTGCGTTAGAAGAAGGGAAGGGGAGGAGAGGGCAAGTAAAGTAAACGAAAGTAAAAGAAGGACGCACCGAATCTTGAGGACCCGCTGTCCATTCGCACGAGCCCAGATACTGAGGATGTCCTCGCCATTCCTGACACTCAGGACGACGCCGCACACCTCCTCGCTGGCTTCGCCGAACTGGTCGCCAATGATGGCAAACAGCAGGTCCTCCCAATACCGATCCGCGACCCCCTTTCTCAAACGCACCACCCACTTCCCGCCGTTCTTGTTCTCCTCATCCTCCCATATTGGCCGGATGCCCTGCCTGAAGAGGTGGTAGTCCGACACCAGCGGAAGCGCTGATGGCCGCTTCAGGTGCTGGTATACTGCGAAGAAGTCCTCAACCGAGTCGATCGTGGCGATCGGGTGCAGCGTCTTCTCGTACTCGATAAACCCATTCGCCTTGGAGATGGGTGGGCGGAACCAGAACACCCAGCTGTTGCGCAGCTGGTGGGTTGACGGCTCGGCCGGCTGGTGCAACGCTTGGCCCCCTTCTTCCAGCGAGGTTAGCGAGGCAGTCTTGCTAACCGCCCTGCTTCCGCCGCCAAAAGCCCCCTCCTTTGCAGATTTCTCGGCGGTCGGGGTCTTTGCGGTGGCAGCGGCGCCTAGGGCTGCCTCGAAGGGGTTTCCGGGCGACTTGGGGGTCTTGGCCGAGCCGAAGGAGGCGAACGCGCCCGAGCCGAGGCCGAAGGCGCCAGAGGCCGCACCGATCGGGGAGGCCAAGTTGGCGCCTGGTGTTGTGACGGAGTTGAAAGAGGACTTCCCCAGCGAAGTGCTATCACCGCCAAATCGCTTGAAGGAAGACGAGGAAGTGGTGTTGCGTCCCGACGGGCTGTCCTGGCCGGAACCTGTTGCTAAAGAGAGCTTGCTCGAGCTGGCGCGGGGTAGCGATTGTGTTAGGAATGGCACATGATTTTCAAAGAAAATGTTTAAGGAGTGAGGGTAGGTCGCTTACTTGGCACGGCGACTCCATAGATTATCCATGGAGAAGTCGGGAACCGTGAAATCCTCGAGGGCGGGGTGGAAAGAGAGGCTCGGCAGGGAAAGCAAAGCCGTCGGGCGGAGCGCCGAGTGATGATACCAGGACCGGACAACAACGAAGACGACGACGATAATGCAATCACAGAAGATATCCCGGGACGGCGCAGTAAAATGAAAGGCGGCCTTTGCCTAAAAGCTCTCTGACCGTACGTGGCGCCGTTTGAGGCGGGGTGAAGCTGGCGGCGATGCGAAATTCGGAAAAAGAGGGTAGGTGGTGTGATGTCAGGAGGCGCTACTGGGGAAAATTCACAGCGCTGTTTTGGTGTGCCGTATTAGTTGAATTGGGGTTGCTAGATGTTGATGCGGTTGGAAGTGGCTGGCTCTCGTCGATGGATGCTATCTTGTGGCGAATCTGAAAGATGTAGAAGGACTGACTCTGAAACTGAGGTGTTGCTCGATTGGCAGGACGGGATCTTGTGGAAACTGGGGACTGGATTCTTTTGATCATGGGAAAAAGAACAAAACTTGAAAGCACACAGAAGGCAGAGTGGCGGGTCTGACTCCACCGGCCTGCAGCCCAAAAAAACATGAGTGGCCTTGGAGAGGCGCCGGGAGCCCACCAGTTTGAGGTCCGTGCAGGGACGCAGGGCGCTGGAGCACCGGCCAGGAGAGCCGAACGTTGCGGGCGGTGAATGTTGTCACAAAACATCCCAGGCGGTTTCTTGGCGGGCCATTTCAAAGAGATTTCCAAGGGGAGCTCCATTTCTTCCTCTTTTTTTCCCTTTCCATAAACCACGACCACAATCCATTGTATCTGCTAGTCTGCCACCAAACTACACCACGCTACTGGCAACCTGGAACGTGTGTCAAGATTGACTCTCTTAAATGCCCTTGTTTAAAACCATCATCACGAGTGCCCCATTGCGCGGCTCCATGATGCGGTGATGACCTGAAGCAAGACCTGGACATTTTGTCAAATGCTATGTGCAAATGTACCTACCTGATGCAAGATGGCTCTTGTTGAAGTTATGCAAGCCGACTTGGAATGATGTTTTTTTTCACGGGTAAGTAATTTTATATGTCTTGTTTCAAAAATGCCTTGATGACCCGTAAACATTCCGGTAAACCGACTCAGCAACGGCGGGTTTCTATTCCTCTGAGGAATGAGGCTTAAAGCCGTGGGTTGAACCTGAGGATGAATGGCTTTCTGAGTTTCCCTCAACCACCCGCCATTGCGCTCTCCTGCCCAATACGTCCTGGGCTAATTGTTCTGGGTGCAGGGTTAGCTCGAGACTACGAGAACGGTCCTTGTGGACTATGGGTAACACTGGTAAGGACGAAAGCAGGAATGCGGATATTGATTTTTTGGGTGGTTAGTTCATCACAGCCGCATTTTGAAAGAGGTTGATATAGTGCCCAATTCGTCCTCCCCCACACTTCATTCCTATTACCTTTGAGAAACTCGTACCAATGAAGCCACCCCCATCCAGGTTGGTATCTCCGGAGGAGGTGAACAATCCACACTGACAGCTGGGCTGGAACTTTGGACGTACTTCGTACTCGCCCCAAACAGACTAGGATGCCCGCTATCATACCAAGGGACAGTCACATCCGACGCCCCTCCACGTTGCTGATGATCTCCGGCTAGCAGGAAATCATTATCAATAACACCCCGTCGACTTCTCATCGGACATACCAGAGGAAGGTTGCTAGGCCGTGAGGGCTCGAGGACATCCACGTTTCGGACTTCGGGGGTTCGGCCCCACTCCTTCGTCTGCTTCAACCCCAAGGGACCACCACAACGTCAGGCTCTTCCCCACGCGCGCCTGCACCACCGCCTGCTGAAAAGGTGGGGTGGTCGTTCTTTCTTATTGCCGGCCCGGCAGTGCGACTCGTCGGGGAAGAGAATTTCCTGTCGGGACCTCGCATAAACCGGAAATCCAGAACCCTTTTGACAGCAGTCCCATGACACTACATAGAGCTAAAGCTTCCCGCTAGAAAACCACCTTTTTTCTCCCGTCAATTGTATTCCCAGGTGAAATCTAAGAAATACCCCCATTTGCATCGGTCCATTATTGCCAATTTTTCGGTTGTCCAGCCCGTCAGCGTCCTCAGCGCTGCTGAACGAGTGCCCTCGTTGCCCCTCCAAGTCCATTGCTGCCCCACATCCTCCAAGTCCTGTATCGCTAGGCCGTCATCCCTTTTCTCTCCCCCTTTCCCAACTCCATCCGCAAAACTCCCATCACCTTGAAAACTTATTCCCATGGGCGAACTTGTCCCGAGTCTGGATCTCCCCCCGGAGGCCGTCAAAAGCACCGCAATGGAGAAGATCACCGACAAGATCGCGGCGCTGCCCGCGGGGCAGGACTACTTCTCGCTCGAGTTCTTCCCGCCCAAGACGGCCATGGGCTTTTCCAACCTCCGCAGCCGTCTCGACCGCATGGCGCGGGCCCTTCGCCCGCTGTTCGTCAACGTCACCTGGGGCGCGGGCGGATCGACGGCTACCAAGTCCCTCGAGCTCGCCGAGATCTGCCAGCGCGAGTTGGGCTTGACCACCTGTCTGCACCTCACCTGCACCAACATGAGCCGCCAGCTGATCGACAAGGCGCTCGAGGACGCCAAAGCACTGGGCGTCCGCAACATCCTGGCGCTGCGAGGTGATCCCCCTAGGAGGGCCGAGTACCGCGACGTCAACGAGCCGGAGCCGGCCGAGGGCGCCGAGGAGGAGGACGAGTTCACCTGGGCCATCGACCTGGTCCGCTACATCCGCAAGACACATGGGGACTACTTTTGCATCGGCGTGGCGGCGTACCCGGAGGGCCACGCGGACGAGAGCCACCCGCTGGGCCAGAGCCTGGAGCACGATCTGCCGTATTTGGTTGAGAAGACGCAGGCCGGCGTCGACTTTATCATGACGCAGCTGTTCTTCGATATCGAGGCGTACAAGCACTTTGAGAAGACGCTGCGCGAGCACCCGAGCGGCGCCTTCAAGGACATACCCATCCTGCCGGGCCTGATGCCGATCCAAAGCTACCAGATGATCAAACGGACGACGAAGCTCAGCCACGCGCATATCCCGGACGGGCTGATGGGCCGGCTGGATGCGGTCAAGGGCGACGACGAGAAGGTGAAGGAGGTGGGTGTGGACATCATCAGCGAGATTGTCGACCAGATCCGGCAGATCAAGAGCGGGACAGCGGACGCAACAGCCGACGACAAGCCCCGGGGCTTTCACTTCTACACACTCAACCTGGAGAAGGCCGTGTCCTTCATCATCGAGCGGACCGGCCTCATCGCACCCATCACACCAGAGGGAGACGAAGAAAGCGCCGTCGCAGTCGACCAGAGCCCGCTACCGGACATCCGCATCCTGCGCATCAACGGGTCGACGCCGGACCAGTCGTTGCACGAGCCCCTTAGGCGGAAGCTCTCGATCGGGTCCGACCCGCGCGACCGCGTAATCGTACAGAGCCGCTCGGCGTCCCACCCAGACTGGGAAGTCACGGCGCTCGAGGCCAGCGTGCCCGCGGAGCCGATCAACTCGCGCGCCAACACGCTAGCCATCTCCGAGGGCGAAGGGGTACTCGGCCGCGAGGCCACCTGGGACGATTTCCCCAACGGCCGCTGGGGTGACGCGCGGTCGCCGGCGTACGGGCAGATCGACGGGTACGGCGTCAGCCTACACGTCACGGTCGCCCAAGCGCGAGAGCTCTGGGGCACGCCGCGGCGGTCCGAAGACGTCAGCGCCATCTTCATCCGGCACTTACGCGGAGAGCTGTCGACGATTCCGTGGAGCGAGGAGAGTTTTAGTGCTGAGACGGCGGAGATTCGTGACCAGCTGGTGGCGCTCAACTCCAAGGGGTGGTGGACGCTGGCGTCGCAGCCGGCGGTGAATGGGCTGCGGTCGAGTCATCCGACGTTCGGTTGGGGCCCGCAGAACGGGTTTGTGTTTCAGAAGGCGTTTGTCGAGTTCTTCCTACCATCAGCCGACTGGCGGGTGCTGGAGGAAAAGCTGAAGCGGCCGGAGATGCGGGACGTTGTGTGTTACTATGCTACCAACATCCGCGGCGATTTTGTCAGTTCCGATTCCGATTCCACAACACCAGAACCACCCACAACCACAGGCACATCAACAACAGCCGCCCCAACAACACCAACAACCCTCACAGCCCCGCCCCCAGAACGCGAAGCGAGCACCAACGCCGTGACATGGGGCGTCTTCCCAGGCAAAGAAATCGTCACGCCGACCATCATCGAGGAAGTGTCGTTCCGGGCCTGGAGCGAGGAGGCGTTTGGGATCTGGGGGGAGTGGGCCAAGATTTACCCGAGGGGGTCGGAGAGCGCGCGGTTCTTGGAGCGGGCGCGGTCGGACGCGTGGTTGGTGAATATTATTCATCATGATTTTGTGGAGGCTGGGGCGTTGTGGGAGTTGTTGGGGGTGGGTGGTGGGAGTGTGTAGGGTTGGTAGGGCTAGTAGGGTGGGTAGGACTAGGTTGGGTTAGGATGGATTACGAAGGGTTAGGAAGGGTAAAGTATGGATGGATGGGAGTGGGTTAGCGACTAGGTATCGGGTTTGCGAGGGATGAGGCTGGCCGGGTAAAAACGGATTTGCATCTTGTCTGGGGATATTGGGAGAGCTGCGTTAGCTACCGAGTATTTATGACTTACTTGCACATAACAAGCGAGGAGGACAACTCTCATCGTCGTCTCCGTTTCGAGTACTAAAGTATGGTGATAATTCGCGTGGGAGAACCCATAAGTTTAACAGACTGTATGTCGTCCATCATGGGATAGCGTAAATAGTTAGCCCTGGACATGCATATCACACACATTACACCACCCTCACATCAGCGACATCAGGGAAGCGCACATAACAGCAACACATTACATTTTAAACACTTCCCCATCCACGAACCCTCCCTCCATCCAGCCAGCCAACCAGCTCAAGTCAACCCAGCTGGCCCGCACCATAGCGGAGACCGTGAATAAAGCGAGTAACCCAATCCATACATCGACCAACCAACCATCCTCTCCCAGTCCACCGTCAATCATCCTCCGGCGTCGCGAGATATTTCGAGTTGGGTCGTTCATAGTAACAACAGACAGAGTCTGAGTGTGAGTGTAGTGTCCTTCTCTTTCTTGGGAGACACTGAAACAGGAAAGGAAAGGGAAAAAAAGAGAAAAGAAGAGAAAAAAAGAAAAAGAAAATACGGACCACCCGTAGAAACCGTATTGGTGCTCGTTTGAGCGGGTCAGGTAATCGACCAGACTCTGAAAAACTTCAAAGAAAAAAAGCCGATGTCAAAGCCGAAGACAAGCCAAAACGAAAAGCGGCGGCTTTCGAAATTTCCATTGTTGAAATTTCGTAACAATGGAAATTTCAAAACAAAGAAAACAAAGCCCGTAACCTTGTGAACCGAACCCCGTGGCGGAATTCCCCAAGTTCCCCGTGGCGGAGTTTGTGCACGCGCCGCGGGAAAACAAACCGGGCCGAGGCAAACTACACGTCCCCGGCGTCCCAACCGTCCTGCTGCGGCTGCTGCTGCTGCTCATGCGAACGATGCCCCTCATAGCTATGAGCGCTATAAGGGCGCGAAACATCATCGTCATAGCCATAGTGGCTAGCAACATCGCCGGCAGCAGCAGCCGGGTTCACCTCGGGGCCGGGAGTAATTCGGCCGCCATTAAAGTCGGCCGAATTACCACCCTGGCCGGCGGCGGTGGTGGTGGGGTACGAGTGGTGGTAGCTCTCGTACTGAGGGCTGGGGTTGGCACCGGAACCGGCGGAGTTGTGGTGGTGGTGGTGGTAGGTCGGCGAGTACTGGCCGCCCGTTGGGTTGGTGTTGGGGCCTGTGTAGCTGCCGCCATAGGTTGAGCCCTCGAAACTGCCGCCCTGCGGATACGGGCTGGTACGGTGGGTGTTGTTGGCGGCCGTATCCGCAGGGGTGCCATAGGCGGAGGAAGCCGGCGCTGGTGAGGCATAGTAGCTACTGCTTGAGTAGCTGGAGCCCGGGCGTGAGTCACGGAAGCTGCCTATCATCTCTATGGCTGACGAGGAGTGGCTGCTGGTCGGCCGGGAGAGAGGAGGCAGCACGTTGTAGCCGTAACCGGTGGCTGGGTCGGTGTATCCGTTGGGCAGACCGGGGGCGGGAGGAGCTGCGCCAGTGCCAGCAATGGGCGCCATGGAGTAAGAGGTGGCTGGCCAGGCCGGTGCAGGTGCTTGGGGGTAGCCGGGTGGTTGGGGGGAGGCGGGCGCTTGAGAGTAGCCGGCTTGAGGGTAGCCGACAGGCGGGAGGGTCGGCCGTGGGGCGGGTGCGAGAGGCACCTGGCGCCGCGAGAGGGCGATTGTATCGGCCATCTCTTGGGCTTCGTCGTTGTCCTCGACCTTGGGCAGCGCAAGGGAAGGGCCAGCAGTCCGGCGACGCTTGGCGGCGCTTGGTTTTCTCGGAGCTCGGGCTCGCTTGGTACTGCTGGTAGCAGCAGTAGAAGGGCCAGGGCCACCGGCGGGCTGGTAATAGGCAGCGAACCTCTCGACTGGGGACACGCCCTCCTCAACGGCCGTCTTGAGGACCTCGGCACCCTTCTTGATACTGCGGAATTGGAAGGCCACTCCCTCCGCAGTGCTCTCGCCGAAGAGAGCCTGGATCTCTGGAGTGGAAGTTGGGTTAGCAGGTGTGCTAAGGAACAGCGATGTGAGAAGTGGGTGCTAGGGGAAAACAAAGAAGGCGGTGCTGGGAACCCGATGCCACGGGGTTTGGGTTAAGAGGGCCAGCAGCGGGGATAGGCAATGCAGCGAGAAGAACCGATGCAGCGAGAAAAGCCAATTCAGCGAGAAAATCCAATGCAGCGAGGACGGCCGATGCGGCGAGGTGAGGACCGATGTGAGGGGGGCCAGGATTGAGACCAAAGGATGGAGACCAAAGGATGGAGGATCGAAACGTGGTGGGAAAAGCAGCGAAAGGAAGTGTGAGGTGTCGTTGCCAAAGGTGAGTTCTTACCCGTCGAGTTCATGTCGACAAAGTCATACTCCCCAGGATCCTCCCCAACCTTCACCAGCTCCGTCATGAGCTTGGCTTGAGCCCGGGCGGGCCGGAACTTGTGCTCCATGGAAGACTCGGTGACGCCGCTTCCAAAGAACTCCGCGATCCCTAGTGGGTTGGAATGGAAAGCCGTGGTTAGTTCGGAATTCGGGATATCCTCCAGGTAAAATCGCAAGGTAAAAGGATCGCTCGCAGGGCCCCCATCGTTTGAATCGCATCGTCCGTTCCTCGCCACATTTCGGATCGCCTAGTTGCAGAAGACAGTGGTCAAGTGGGTGCAGGCTGGGCCAGTTGGGCCAGGAACAGCGCAGCACAGAGTGGAGGACTGACGCCAAGTATGGGAGGCCGATGCAGCGGGTTTGAGGGGAGGTTTGAAGGAAGGTGAAAGGATGGAGCAAGGTGTGAGGAGAAAAGAAAAGACTCACTCTTGTAATCGAGGCGCTGGCCGTCCAGCGACGCCACCAGAGCCGCCAGCAACCGCGCCTGGGTCTCGCGAGTCTTGAAACTCGCGACTCCCCCCTTCTTCTCCTTGGCGTCCTTGGCGTCCTTGCTGGGCGCCATGGCATGAGGGCTGTCATGTCGGTTAGTGCGTGAACAGTATGGCACCAGGCCGCTCTCTGTTGTGTCGCTTTCCTCGGAAAACTCTTTGTTGGAGACTTCCCCAGCCTGTTGTGCTTCTTGTTGCGCCGCTCTTTATCCCACCATCAACATCGCGAAAGTGAAAGAAAGGGTCAACACCAAAGCGACGAGATAAACCAGCCCAGTCGCCCGGGCAGGCGCCAGGCGCAATGCCCGATGCGAGGAGGCAGAGGCCAATATTGAAGGTAAAACCGAAAGTGGGGGGAAATCAACTCTCGGGCACTTGCCCGGTCATCAAGTTGCAAAAAAATGCAGGTGACCTAACCTGAGGAGTGAATCCTGAGGCAAAGAAACCCCATTTTCGGTGCCCTAAATGCATCCTTCACAAGGCAGCAAGGCAAGAAAGCAGCCAGATCTAGGAACTTGGAAAACACGCGGGAAGTGAAGAAAATTTTTAAAGAGAGGGGAAAAAAAACTTGCCTGCCCAGCCGAATGACAGTGAGTATAGGCTGAACTTAGAGGGGAATGGGAAAGGGACCGGGCAAAGAGACCAGGGAGAGTGATTTGGGAGAAGTGAAGGAAAAGAGGGTTTGGAGAGGGAGGGGGGAAGCCTGCCTGTCCAGGTGAACGACAGAAGAAAGCTCAACGCAGCGAGCTTAGGCCAAAGTTAGAGAAAAGTGCCTGGGAAAGGGGACTGTGAAAAGGGACTGGGAAAAGTGATTGGCGAGAAGTGAAGGTTTTGAGAGAGAGAAAAAGCCTGCCTGTCCAAGCCAACACTGGGAGACATCTCGACGCAACGGGCACTGCCCGAAGTTTCGGAAACCGGCTGGGAAAAGTGAAGAAAACCGAGGTTTGGAGAGAGGGAAAAAGAGGGTTGGAGAGAAAAAGGATGCTTGCCTGCCCACACCAACGCCACAAGACATCTCGACGCAGCGAGGATAGGCTGAAATTTAGGGAAACGACTGGGAAATCACGCCTTGCGGCCACATACCTTGGAGAAACTTCTTTTCAAAAAAAGGAAACGGAAAAGACGATGCCCGTAGGCACACAGAAAAAGAAAGCTCGAGAGACAGCTCAGTCGAGAAAGAATCTCGACGAAAGGTGGTTGTGCAGATGGGCGAACGCGACAAACTGGTTGGAGGTGTGTGGCGGTCTGGTGAAAAGAAGAAGAGGGGAGGAAGAAATTTGGGAATTCAAGAGGGCGTGGGAAGAATTTATACTCTGGTGGGAGGATGTGAGGACCCGCGCGCGGGTCCGCCTCGAAGCCGCCTGATTTGACGACGGTGAGGTTGGTGATGCGGAGCGCAAGTCGGAAGGTGCGTCGAGGGGCGAGGTCGTGAAGCCGGATCGAGGGGCTGCGAAGTCGGATCGAAAAGTTGTGAGGCCGGACTAAGAGCTTGTGAAGCCAGATCAAGAGGTTGTGAAGCCGGATGACGACGGTGAGGTCGACGACAGGAGTGCAAGTCAGTCTGTACGTCGAGGAGGCCGGTGTGTCGAGGGGACTAGTGTTGAGAGGTTGTGAAGTCGGATGGCGACGGTGAGGTTGGTGATGGGGAGCGCAGATCAGAAGGTGCGTCGAGAGGGTGAGGTTACGAAGCCGGATCGAAGGGTGGTGTAGCCGGGTCAGGAAGTTGCGAAGCCAGACGACAACAAGAGGTTAGTGATGCGGAGCACAGGTCGATCTGGATGTCGAGGGAGCTGGCATTGAGAAGTTATGAAGCCGGACGACAGTGATGAGGGTGGTGACGGGGAGCATATGTCGGTTTGTGTGTCGAGGGGCCAGTGTTGAGAGGCTCGGTGTTGAGAGGTTGTGAAGTCGGAATCGAGAGGTTTGTGAAACCAGGTTCAAAGAGTTGTGGAGCCGGATCGAGGGGTTAGGAAGCCGGACGACAACAGTGAGATTGGTGACGAGGAGTGCAGGTTGATTTGTATGTCGAGGGGGCTGGTATTGAGAAGTTGTGAAGTCGGATCTGAGAGCATATGAAGCCGGACGACAGCGGTGAGATTGGTGACGGGGAGTGCAGGTTGATTTGTATGTCGAGGGGGCCAGCGCCGAGAAGTTGTGAAGTCGGAGTCGATTTGGGGGGCTTCGGGTTTGCGTCGGTCAGTCAGTCAGTCATGATGGATATCACAATGTGGAAGTTGGCCAGTCTTAGTGTTGAGAACCACCGAACGAGCAAGACTTGTACGGCTAGGACGTTCAGGGGTAAGGGAAGGGGAATAGGGGCTGGAGTAAACACGACTATGTCAGACAACTTGTCGTTGTGGTACTGTTTCTCACGGCTTAAAGCACAAAGAGGACCAAAGCGTTGAGATGGGTTGCTAAAAAATAGGGGCGCAACATCGTTGGAAGCGTTCTGCCCAGCGGCACTTTGATATCAAGTTGACAGAAGAAAGGGGCGTTGCTGCGGAGACAGTTTGGACAAGTAAAGAGAGCACTCGCTCAAAGGACCCTACCTCGCGCGAAACCTAGACACACCGCCGGAGCGATGAGAATTTAGCCAAGTCTTAACTCTTTTATCGGAACTTAGGCTACTCGGGACTATGAGCGAGGACCAAGAGACAGGGAAGTGAATATGTGACAAGGAGTATCAGGAACTACCTGATACCAGTCGACATCAATGAAGTCGTCCCAAACTTTCCTAGATAAATCCAAACTTAACATACCAAAAGCAAGATAATTGCACTCGCTCACAACCAAAACTGGCTTATATCAAGACCCCAACCTCTGACGCAAGCTCCTCCTAAACAAGGAAGTCCGCTCTCTTGCATGGAGCTTACACCCACGGCCTACGCACGCGGCTGAGGACAACGACAACGCGTTATTCACAGTTGGCCGGCCATGTATGTTTTGCATAGCGAGTGTAATTCGTCTTCTTAAAAGAGTGACAAAGTAGCGATGATTAAATGGAAGGGAGTCTGTGCCATCCAGCCTTTCATCTGATGTTGAAAAGGGAAAAGAGATGTTAATAAGCGAGACGGGAAGAGAAAAGTCGATTTGTTTCTAACCAAACAAAAACACCGTGCACTGTGGGTTTAGTAAGACTTATTGAGAAATTAAGATCTCTCAGGGACGGTGGTTATTATCCATCTTACAGCGCCCAAAATGTACGCAATGAAACTGAAAAATATGAGAAAGATGTTAACAGTAACTTAGGATAGTGTTCAAGTCCCTTTACATCGTTAACTTGCTTTAAACATTGTGGTGACAAGTTACTTGGTAACATTGATTCACAGTCTTGGCAAACCATGTGCTCCTATGCTGCTCTCCACAACAAATTTCAATGCCACTCAAAAGTCCTTTTAAACAAACAGACAACTACGAATGATTATTGCTTAAAACTGCAGGCTCCCGCTCATAAAATTCAGACTCTATTATTATATATCTATCCAGCCATATACCCATCATCATACCCTTCATTCATATCGTCTTCTCTGTCGTCGACGTCCTCCGGCCGGGCGTGTGGGAGTGGCCGCTCGCCGTGGAAAACCCATTAGACTGCATCTCATGCTGCCACACCGGGGACGCATGGTCCTTCGCGCCTCCATCCCCATACATCATATACTGCACCCCCAAAAAGGAATCGCAGCACGCCTGGAACATGCCGCAGATCTTGAACGCCCAGGGGATGGACGTGGTCGACGTAAAGAACCAAAACATCTTCATGGCGTCACCAATCAACCAGCTAGCCAGCAGAGACACCCGGAACCCCTTGCATGAGCGAGTCCGCATGTTGGAGAGGATCTGGGGGATCGGAAGCGTCGCCTCGACCGAAAGTCCGATGACGCCGATGAGTGACGAGTAGGACTGGTACACCGAGGGGATGGGCGAGAGCAAGAGTTCGAGAGCCACGAGCCCGACGAACAGACCGAGCAGAAACTGCCAATATCTACGTTTTAAGTGTCAGCATATCCTTCATTCTTATGTTTCCACCCCGCCTTCAGGGAAACCCACGGCTTGGCCGACCTCCACTGCCAAAAGTTGAACGGCCGCTGCGTCTCATTGACCCGCGAAAATGGAACCGACGCGTCCCCCGCCTTTGAATATGGTGCCGGCCGGTGGTCCAGGCCAATCTTCAGCAGCAACACCTGCATGACCACCATGACGAACGATTGGACGAGGAGCGCATTATCGTATTTGGCACCGGGGTAGTAGAATATCCTGTCGTGAACATTCCGGGTAAGTTTGTTTGCAGGGGGACACAATTTAACGGCGACCGCCAGGGACGTACCTCAGCAACGAAGCGATGAGCATAATAAGTGGGATGTCCAGCGAGAACCCGGCGCTGGATCTTGTCCGGTGCATCGAGTACGCCTGGTCGCTGTACGAAAGAACCGGCGAGAGGATAAGGAATGCCGGGGTCAGAAACCCCGTCAGGGTCGTTAACCAACTCATGGCTTGCCGCCGTGCCTGGGGCACGCAATGAGTGCGAGGAGATGGGGGCGGTAGTTGTTGACGCGGTATCACGCGGGGAGACCGGGAATGGCGGGAAGGGACGGGAAGGGCCGCGAAGGTGAGGCGATTGGCGTAGCGGGAGCTCGTGTGCTCATGTACAGGCCATTCCCGAGGTGGTAGGAGCTGTCGACGACGACGATACCGCAAAACTAACGGAAAATTCGGTGCTGGCGATAACAAAATTTCAGGTTCGAGATCGAGCCCGTAATGGGCCCTCAACCTAACACGCGGCGGGATCGACGGGACGGTCCCAAAATTGTGGAGTCGAGCCCAAGTGCCGAACTGTTTCACAAATTACCACACAGCTGGCACCAGTTGACAGGGCCCGAGACAGCACGGTTTCTTCCCGTTTGGGCAACTACGACAACAGTGGTTGCCGGGGGTTTGCGATAATTCGTAGGCAAAAGGGGAAGGGGCGGGACAAGTAGGCCATATACAGAGTGTCTGCTACACCTGCCTTAATACCCATCTTATTTCGATAGTTGGATTCCGGGGAAGGCGCAATGGAGGTTGACGCTAATTTTTCCAAAAGCCAAGCGGCCACCCTCTTTCCTCGTCTTCTCTTCGTCTCTCACTACCTTAATCGGCAACTGGGTAAGTTTGTACGATATCAATCCGGCGCCTAACTAAAGCAAAGATACAACGAATGACGTGAGTGTAAGTATCGTGTATCATCAGGCAAAGTTTTGCTTTTCCCCTTACGGTACCTATGGTGCTCCGGTGAAGCCCGAATCATTTCAGCTCTTATTCAAGCAGGGGAATTTTATAACTATGCTTCGAGTTGTGATGCCAAACAGCGCCCTCGACTGTTCAAAGACGCCTCGTTTATCACAGATTCTGAAGTGGATGGTGCTCGGTAGAAAACGACTCGGTATTTGAAATGGATTGTGCTGACTCGGAGAAGCTAGTGCAGATCTCAGTTCGGTGTCCGGTAACGCGTCTTTCTTCGATGTCGGCGACTCCAAATTAGGTCATGGCGCTGGTATTTAGGCCAAGTTTGCAAGAGAACGATGTATCATGCCACCACGGCCCGTCCCTCTGACCCAGAGAACTTGAGACATCGAGGTCGGGGGGCTTCCGCCGACGCCCACCCGCGACGCCGTCCACTCGCCACCAAGAACCTTGAAAATTTGAACGACTTAGTCGCCAAGGAGTATCCTCAACGTCTCCGTTGGCTTGCCATGTCTCAACTTAAGGCACATTCGGGCCGTCGTTGGTGTTGTCGCGATCAGCAACAAGGAAATGTAAAGCCCCATCCAGCGGGCATTCATCATCGACAACTTGAGCGTGCCGTTAATAATCCCGTGTTAGCCCTGGTGTTCTACTGTGATATACCAAGAAGCTACTCCGCCGTGGCAACCCATGGCTGTTTTCTACGAGCATCGAACGACAAGAGGCTTGTACTTGTTCCGGCCGTGTTTCGGTCATGTTGGGTAACGGAAACATCAAGTTGACACAAACCGACAAGCCATGCTGCACCGAGCAGAGATTTGGCGGAACATTTCCGTGCGGTATGGTATCAATAACTTCCAAAGGTGACACGGCAACATGGAGCTCCACGACCTCCCGAGAGGGGCAATTTATGATGGGAAGGGTTGTTGGCGCTGGTGGTAACGGTCCATCCGCAGCGGCTGGTGGTTTACAAAGCATCGCCTTGGATTTGCTCGAACGTGTCACCAGCGGCCCTGATTTGTTCAGTTGTCCCACACTCGATGCGTTCCCAACACCTCAACCTACCATCGATATCGAGTGAATACCTTTCCAAGTTGCACCCCTTCTAAGGCGGTTGCCTAGGAGCGTCAGCTGCACGGGGTGAAACCAAACGGAGTCCCGGCACATCGACACCGCTTGAGAATCTTTGCCTTGTTCCTTATGAGACCGGTGAGACAGCAAACAACCTCTTGCAGTCCCACGACCGTGTGCCGTCTCTCGGCCTGAGGACCCCGTTCTCTGAGTAGCACCCTATGATGTAAACACGTTAAGGAGTAGGTTAGCGGTCCCTCAACCTCCCGCGAGACAGCCCTCGCGCGGTCCAACCCCAGGCACATCTGACATCTGCAGTTGGGAAACACTGCATAGATGCTGCCACAATGTCGCAGGCACGCCATGCAGGCTCAGTTCCTTGACACGCGCAGTACCGGTCGCTCCCCCTAGGTCTCGAATCAAGCCCACCTCGTCAAGAGCGCGCCCTCCTAAACAGGTGACCCGGCCCGGATGAACGGGCCTTGAATTCCAGCTGGAGCGAACCATGCTCAGGTTGACTTCAAAGCGGAACAGGGAACAACCTCATTAGCAGGACGCTTTGCTACCTGGTGATGCGGTTTGACCGAGAGGACTGTGTATTATCGAGCGAGGCTTGCCGCGAACGGGTTGGGACGAACTTGCTCCATTTCCGAAGAACTGGTTCTCCCACGGCGTTACTGCGGGCGCATACTTGAAAAATGGCCGATCGCCTCGTCACTCGGGCCGCTCTCGGCGGCTTTTGCTGAAACGATGCAGGTCCTTTGCCTATCAGCGCCTCGATTTCAGTTGGCACACCGCATGAGGTGAGACGCAGATGGCGGTTCTCAGACAACCCCTCTGCCAATTCTGCTCGAATAAAGGTCGCTAGACATTGAGAAGATACGCCACAATTTGGAGGGCCGGGGGTTGAGGTCACCACTTGCTCCATTAGGCAGAGCGGATGGCGACGACTTGACATATTCGCAAGCTGCGTCCTCGAGCCTTGCAGATGGTCAACTTCACCGCCGCAGAAACCCAAAGCGCATCTATGCAAGTCTTTTCTCTTGAGCCGGTTGCGCCTAGCATAACCAACGAACGAAGAATACCACCCACCCATCATTTCCAAAGTTGTGAAACAGAAACCCTTTGGCATCGAGCCCGAGTTTCAAACCAAGGAAAATAGAAATCGCAACAACTATTCGTAACAGGACTGAATTGCTCAACAGCCGTGAGCGCCTTGTCACATTTACGAATACGTCAGGGGCCCCCGAAACCAAGAGTCTCCGGTCCCGAACCTGCGCCCGGCTCCGAAACCACCGCCTCCCGCTTTCTGACGGCGCAAACACCGCTCCACGTGAGATTGCGGGACTGCCAACTCGGGCATTTCTCCGACTTGGCTCCCACATTGCGAAAGGAGCTTCTGTTGAATTTCGCTGAACCTTTTCACCAGGTTCTCGAAACACTGGCGAAAAACGCAACACAATGGCGATTTGCCATTGGAGACTATTTTGAGCGTGTTCCCACACAGGATACAACGCCGGCTACGTTCCCGGCGACAAGCCGACACGGGGTGAGGTTGCGATTGGTCCCAGCGGGGACTCGACAAGGGAGTTGCATCTTTGGGACGATGGTCGTGTCAACGGGGATCCTTCTGAAAAGGAAATCATTTACCGTTGTACGATGTTCGCCGAGGCTCCTCTGCATGCGGGCTGCCGAGATTGCAGATATTGGCACGAGGCACCGTCCGATCTTCAAAAAATGCCAAGTTTCTGGGGGGCAAACTTTCATTTTCGTCCCGATATTCCGCAACTATTGGTGTTTGAACATGGAGGATCGAAGTCCGTGGCACCTTTTGACTGCGTACACTACACAATCTTCGGCACTGTGTCTGCCGTGTGGAAAAGAGAAGATCACGGGCTGCACACGACAGCAACGTCGGCGACAGCGCCAACATGCGTCAGTGCATGACGGCGGGGAGCTGACCTCATTGTTCGGTTACGTTTTATGAAAGCCCTTCCCCTTCCGCCCACCCACTTCTCAAACATTTAAGGTTGGCGCGGAATAGATTCTCAGAGCCGGGCCGTGTCTTATCCGCTCGTGTTATAACTCAACCCTCCGCCCGGCCATCTCAACCAGATTCCCCAGATCCGGGACGGTGTCAAGTTCTTTTATTAGAAGCCGGACGGGATGGTAGGCTCCGGCCTGGTTGCAAGGCGGGCTTCACACCACCGCGCTTGATGCTTAAAACATCGTGAACTCACTCAACTCGCTTGTTCCTCGTCGATCTCGGGCCTGAACTCGGCGTTTGATTCAACGGGTAATTATGAGTCAGGGAGTCACAGCATTTCGCTATCGACAGGAACATTTCCCCAAGCAATCATGGTCGACGGAAAGAGCTCGAATTGTCCTTGTTGATTTTCGTCAAACTGTCTCGCTTTCGGACGGTAGAGGGGCAAGCTCCGAGGACAAACGCACTAAGGACGCAACAAGACGGGGACGCGGGGCTGTCACGGACAGACCAACACGGAGCCAGGGTCCCGCTGGCGAGCCAAATGAACAATCGAAGCATTGTGGAAGCGACGCAAAGGAGCAAAGAATGAGAAGACCGTTGAGTGAAGGCGACGCCTCGACGATTGCGGAACGGAATGCCGAGCTTGACCGCCGTGTGGCGCACCTTGCCCAATGAAATCCCTGCCGAGACGAAGGGCTGGGATTTTCAGGTCGGAGCTGACCAGGTCAACCATTGCGCGGGACAGCTCCATGTGAACAGGCTAATTGCCGCTTTCGATATTTGCCGGACGAGCACTTGGGGCGCTGACAAGCGCAGGACCCCCGATACGGTCAATGAATGGTGCCAATGTTGCATGCCTCGGCTCAGTCGTCTCTTTCTTGCCTTCCTCGACACCTGAATACACAAGACTCCGCATAGTGTACTGTATACGATGTACAGGGTCGAGGACCGCGAATATTATCGAAGCCAGAGGCACCTTTTCTTGTCGTCCGGCTGCTCACTCCGTCTCCCGCACGTCTTCTTGCTGGGTTCGAGGGAAGGGGGTGCGGGCGTTCCTAAGCTCTTCTGTCTCGGCTTGGACGGCGCGCCCCGTCCAAACGAGAGAGCCAAAGGAGAAGTCTCGGCCGACGCCCCGCTCCTCTCTGATTGGCCACATGGCGAACACGGACCATGCGAAGATTGCCGTGTTGTGCCGGGGGCTAAAAAT